GAAAAAAAAGGCAGCTGGCTGAACTCCTATTCGCTGTCCCATTGTATCGGACGCGGTAATAATCGGGTTTGCAAATGCAATCGCTGCTACGATGCGAAAATCCTACTGGAAAATGTATTAGAGCAATTATCCGTCTCACTCCGCAGCCGGGTGTAGCATTAATATTCAATTTTGATGTGCAAGTCCTATTATGTTAATGACTTTGGTGACAAAAGTCGTCCGTGGAAGATTTTTTTCTTTATAGTGCAGCATCAGCAGGGTGAGTGCGGCCACCACGTTGCTCTGGGGATGGGATCACACTCAGGGCTGTGCCCAGCTCTGTGCAACCCGGGGTGTGGTGTGGGCCGGTGCTACACCCGGTGCTGCAGTTGCCCTCCTTTGTTCTCTCCGGGGTGGGGGTTGTGCGGGGCTCCCTCCACTGCACTGCCGGTATCGGGGCCGCCCCGAGGTTCTGCGGATGGAGGATGGGCAGCGCTGCAGGAAGGCCTAGATGGACAGATGGACACATGGATGGATGCGTGGATCACGTGCAGCACGAAGAGGCTCGCAGCCTGAGCACGGTGCCGGTGCTACCGGCCCCCGGCATTGCCATTGCACAGCACCGCACCTCCGTGGGGGCACGAGGCCCAGCCCCGCGGTCGCCAGCGCCGCCCCAGGGGACGGGAGAGGGACGCAGTTTGGCAAAAACGGAAAAAAATGGCAGCGCCCTTCGTCTTCCGAGCAAAATACTCATTTCCGGCAGCGCGACTCCCGACTGCCTGCAGCCCCGCGGGCGGCCCCGCGCCGTTCCCGGTCAGCGTGAGCCCAGCGGGGGTGAAGGGGGGGGGGGCACGACGCTCCCTACGGGCTGAGCAGCCCCCAGCAGACCCCTCTGGGGCGGGTGTCTGCGAGCAGCCCCTCGAGAGCCCCCCGCCGCCTCCCTCCCGGTGGGCACTCGGCCCACCCACGGCCCCAGCACGGCGCGGGAACGAACGGCTGCGGAGGCACCGGGTGAGGAGGGGTGAAAAGGGGGGGGAACCGGGGAGAGCCCCGGGCGCTGCCCCGGGGTGGCGGCGCCGCGCGCACGTGGCCGGGCCGGGGCATCCCCGGCCGCGCCGCGCCGCCCCTCCCCCCGCGCGCCCATTGGCCCGCCCTTCCCCCCGCCGCGCTCCCATTGGCCCCGGCGCCCTCCACAAACAAAGGCCGGCGCCCGCGGGGGCTCCGCGCGCCGCCCTCATTGGCGGGTTGGCGGTGGTGGTGGGCGGGGCGAAGATCCGGCGGGCCCCGCCCTCCGCGCCGCGCCAGTTGCCTTAAAGGGGGCGGGGCGGAGCGCGCCCATTCATGCAGGCCGGCCGGGGGCGCGGCCTGCTCGAGCCGTTCCCGCTGGCGCGCCGCAGGCAGGTGGGTGCGGGCTGCGCGGGGCGACCACGCGTGTGGTGCGGGGCGGCGGGGCCGCATCCTCGTGCGTGTGAGGTGACACCGGAGGGTCTGTGCTCGCGCGGGACGGACGAGCGAGGCGCGCGTCGTGCGTGTCCCGCGCGTGTCCGTGCTCGCAGTTGCCCCGGGGGTGCGGGTAGGACGCTGCTCTGTGTCTGGCGCAAACCCGTGTTGTCCCGCTGGCTCTCGATCACCCCCGCGCGTGCCCTGCGCCAGGCCCGGTGCTGGCACCTGTGTGGGTCTGTCCCTTCCCGGCCCAAATCTGCGATATCTGCAGCACGGAGCTCCCCGTCCATGGTGTCCCTCGTTTCCTCTGATGGAGGGGGACCAGAGGGTCCACCAAGGACATCTCCCATCCTCCCTGTTTCCCCCTGGGAAGGTTTGTGCTTTGTACCTACTCTGCTCCTCTTGGCTGAATGCCTGCACAGACAGAACCCTCTTCTCCATTTCCTAATAGCAACCATAAATTTATTCTTGCTTCCAACCTGCCAGGTCCCCACATGACACACGGTGTCCTCCAGCCCGCGACGCAGCGATGGATTGAACTTTAGTCTCCGAGCAATTAAGGTGACCTGAAACTGCACTTCATTAATGCTTGTTATGCAATAAAAACGATAAAACTGCCCTTATTTGCAATATAAAAAAGCAATTTGTTTTAATTTATGTTTTAAAATACTTACCGGGTTCTTCCCAGGCTCTGCCAGGCTTTGACCTTTGTGGTGGGAGGAGTGGAGCGGGTTGCTTTGTTGGGACAGGATTAGGGTTAGGGTGTCCCTGTGTGTCCCCCCCCTCCGGGCTGCAGCCTTGAACAGCCTCAGTGCACCAGCTCTGCCAATTGCAAACCCGCTGCTTGCTCTCTCCTGCTGCTCTGCTCAGCGAGGTGCAGACACACGTGAGCACACACGCATGTGTGAGCGTGCTTCCCCCACTGAGCAGCACAGGACAAAAGCTCAGCCCCAGCGCAGCAGCGTGAGACCCTCATGGGGATTGGATGCATTTTCATAAAACAGAGATCTTGAGCTGCCCTTCAGCCACCTTTTCTAATTACGATTAATTGCAGCTGCCTGCAGCCCCTCAGGACCTTGCTTATTCTCCTGGGCTCCCCACACCGGAGCAGAAGGGATTGGGGCTGGGGGCAGCTCTGAGCTGGGGGTCCCAGCAGACCCCATGTGGGGATGCAGCTGAGGGTGTACTGTAGGGCTGCTTGGAGGAGCCCGAGCTGTGCAGCACAGGGCTGGAGGTGGTGCACCACCCTACTGTCTCTGTGCTGGAGGCTGCTTTTGGCTCCCCCTGCTTTCCTCGCAGTGCTGGGGCCGTGTTGTTCGGTAGCGGGGTGCTGATGGGTTGCAGGTGAGCATCTGCACATGGTTTGCATTGCAGAGAGGTTGGGGACACAGCAATTGGAAACACATTGCCCTGTGGGACTGCCCTGCATGCAGGCAGCCAGGGATGAATTGTGCAGTCTTGTGTCAGACTGGCTGCAGCAGCAATACCTACCTGATTTCCTCTTTTTAATGGGGAGAAAAAATGGAGTTTAATTCATCACTTGGGCTTTAAAAATTGCCTGAGGAGGGTTTGCTTTTGAAAGTAAAAAAATCGATAGTGGGAAGAAAAGAGAAACAGGGAAATGGGCAGCAGTGGTGAAAGCAGATGGATGCCAAATCCCCCCTGGGCTGGAGACAGTGGTAGGGAAGTTGGTAACACGGTCAAGGCATCACCAGAGGGGTTGGGGCCTCCAGAAGTTGAGCTCTGGCAGGGTGCTGCACTACCCATCCTCAGGCTGCACGTCCCACAGTGCAGTGTTACAGTGCTCGCTGGGCTCCTGGTGGCCTTTCAGCATGTGGGGAAGCCACCTGAGCCCTTTTTTCTGCCAGTGTTGAGTTAGGGGCCATGTAAAACTAATTGGATAAACATGATTTCCCCTCTAACTCAGTGCAGATGTCCTGGTGCAGCAGTGAGGTGCTCTCCCTTCCCAGCCAGATGGGCGGCTGTGTCCCAGGTTCTGTGCCTGCTTGGGTAGGAGACATCCAGCCCCACAGCTGGGGACAAGTGGGGAGGGGAACCCCCAGCCCTGGAGTTGTGGCAGTGCTTCTGCTGCTGCAGAGAGTGTGGGGGGCTGAGAGGAGGTCACAGTGGAAAATGTCCCATGTCCAGATACAGCATTCCGTATCTGGGTGCCATGTACCAGGCCTGGGTAGTGCATCCTATGTCCTGGTGCTACGTCCTATGTCCAGGTGCTGCATCCAGTATCTGGGAATGACATCCTATATGGTACCCTGTCCCATGTCTGAGTACAACGTTCCATATCTGGGTATGACGTCCTGTACCAGTGTTCCATGTCCCATATCTGGGTACCATATCCCATTCCCAGGTGCTGCAGCCCCTCCAGCTCTTGCCCTGTGCTACTGATGCCAATTCTCACACCTGGGCACTGCTGGCTGCCCCACACCATCCTCCCTCCGTGGCCAGTACCATCATTCCCATCTGTGTGCTCTGTCCACACAGGTCCATTCCAGCCAGGCAACCTTAAGCCAGAACGGGGGGGGGGTTGGGATGAAAAGAGGGGCAGCCCCCATTGCTGCTGGGGCCACGTCTCTCATGGGGTTTTTGATGTCAGAGCACCACAAAGCAGTCAGTGCTGCCTCCTCAACCCCGGCAGCACCTGGAGGGAATTAGGCAGGCATGCTCCACCTCCCTGCAAACCTTTTGTAGAGCAAATTCTTGTGGTTACCCATTGCAATTGCTGCAAATTATACAAGCGCTGTGGATTTTGTTCCAATGGGAACATGCAGTTGGCTTGCACCGCTCCGACCCGCCACCATGCCTGCAAAGCGAGTCAGCCTGTGGGTGGTGGGCATCCCTTTATTCCTTCCCCTTTTTTAAGGGTTGATCCCTTGCAAACCCTCCGCACCCTCATTGGGAAGCACTGCACATGGGCTTTGATCCACCCATGCCTGAGCACCATCTGCACCGCACACACATGCACACAACAGCCAGATGCACGCCCACATGTGCACGCATGAACCCATGAGCAGAGCAGGAGCTGAGCCCAGAGAGATTGCTTCGATTGAATGTGCACGCATGTGCGCATGCACGTATACTTATGTGTGTGTCACACGTGTGCCTGGGTGCACACGCATGTACTTAAACGCTCATGCATATGCATGAATTGATTGCATATATGTGCCTTTGTACGCGTGAGTGTGTATGTGCATCGATATACATGTGCGTGCATGCACGTACATGACTATAAACACATTTTCCTGACTCTTGGATGCTGGGCCCGAAGAGCTCATCCCGTTTCCGCCTCTGCCAGCAGCCCTGAAACAAAATTTCCCCGCCCTCTCCCTCCCCTCAGTCCTCCCGGAGCAGTGTGCGCGGTCCTCCAAGACGGTAAGAGCGCCGCCGCAGGCCGCTCCATCCCTCCCGTCTCGCTGCCCGCCGCCCCACTTCCCGGAAGCGCCAGCGGAGCAACGGAAGGCGGAAGTGCCGCTGTGGCCGGTGCCGGTGCCGCCATGGCGGGTGGCTGAAGGGGCCCGCGGGGCGGGGCGGGGTGGAGGGGCGGCTCCGGGCCGGGCCCTGCGGGGCGGCCCCGCCGCGGGCAATGGCGGCGGCCGCGGGCTCCAACTGGGGCCTGATCATGAACGTGGTGAACAGCATCGTGGGCGTCAGCGTGCTCACAGTGCCCTTCTGCTTCCGCCAGGTGAGCCGTGCCACGCCGTGCCTGGCTCACGGCCATCCTCGGTAGGGTGGGGGCAGCCCGGGGGCAGCCGCTGGGGGGTCCCGGAGCCCCGGGAAGGGGCCGAGAGCGGCGGGGTGGCGGTGTGAGGGCAGGAGCTGGCTGCGTCCAGAGCCTTATTCTGTGCCACGGGGCCCCCAGCTCTGTGCTGTGCGGCCTTCCCGCAGTCGTTCTCACCGTTACTAGAGCTGAAGAGAAGCGCTGGGCACCGTGCCCGTGTGTGGGTCCTGCGGGTGCCGAGCCACCTGCCTTGGCCTTGCGGCCGCACCAGGTTCAGCCCCAGCACAACGAGTGTCTGGTGTTAGGGGCTGCTGCTGCTGCTTTTGCTCCTTTAAAGTCACCTGCTTGAAAAGCAGCCTGCGTGTGACATCTACCCCTGCACACCTGTCCTGCAGTGCAGGGCAGCTCAGTAATGTCTGTGTGCTGTTAGGTAGTGCTTATTTAATAAGTGTGTGGGTAAGGGTTTGGATCTCGTGCTTAGGTGTGGCTCTGTTGTTTACATGAACGTAATGAGGGCTGCAGAGCCCTGGGGATGCACTGGTCTCATGGCGTGAGTCATAGAATCATTCAGGTTGGTAGAGATCTCTGAGATCATCAAATCCAACTGTGCTTCACAAATGCCTCCAGTTCACCCCTCTGTGCTAGCACAGCTGTGTGGTCCTCAGGCTGCAGGAAGAGTTAAATTGAGCTCATACATCACGTTTGTCCTGACTGCAGGGGAGCTGGAGAACTCCCTGAACAGGTGAAAATGTGGCTGAAGATGCACGGGGGAGGCTGGAGGCAGCAAGGCGTGGGAGTGAGACTGCCCAAAGTGCCTGACTTTCCATCTTGCGCTTGTCTTCTTTCCCTCCCCTCTTCCTTTGCAGTGTGGCATTGTCCTGGGAGCTCTGCTCTTGATTTTCTGTTCTTGGATGACTCATCAATCCTGCATGTTCCTGGTGAAATCGGCCAATCTCAGCAAGCGCAGGACCTACCCTGGCCTGGGTGAGAATTTCCAGCTCCAGGGCTTGCTTTTTTTAACTGTGGTTTTACTTTGACCTCTTAATTTACAACTTTTTCACTGATATTGTTGGAAAACCAAATGATTTCTTGATGTAGTTTTCAATTTGTGTTTTGTTCTTCTGTCAGGCTCTTCCCCCGTGCCATGTCCCCGGGGGGATACGAGGGCTTAATTCTGTTCTTGACAGGGAAGTTAATAGGCACAGAATTGTTTTGACTCTGCAGGGCAGGGGAGGAGATGCAGTGCTGACTGATCAAAACCCAAGTTTTCGGGAGCTGGCCTGGTGGGTGTCTGGTGTAAATTATTGGTCTCAGCATGAAAGCCACGAGCTTCCCCACCCAGCATGCTGCCGAGGACATTGGGTTCTGCCAGCAGAGCCTGGCATGGAGCTCGGGCTGCCTGGGTCTGAGCCGTGTGTGCATTTATGGCAGAGCAGGGGGAGCAGAGAGGAAACAGCATTGAAAGTTCCAAGTGGCCAAGAAAATAAAAACATCTGCAAGATTCATGTGTGAGGGTTTGGCAGCGTCTGCCAGCCTCTGCGCGGTGCCAGTGCTGGCCTCTGCTGTGACCTCTCTGCTCTTCTGACTGAGTTGGGGAGCAGGAGGAGGTGGTCGGGTTCCCGTGCTCTCAGCTGGCATGTGAAACAACGTGGTTGTTTGCTTGGTTTCTCTTGTTTGGGTAAGTGGAGAGTTGGCTGGCATCGCTTTTGGTAAAAGAGTTAAAGAACTGCATGGCTCGCTTGGTCACTGCATTGTTGACAGATGGATTTCCACCATGCTCAGGATACCCGAGGTCCTGTTACCACGCTTTGCATCTTTAGCCTTTGCTACAAGCTTAAAAAAAAAAAAATAATAATAATTAAAAGATTGTTGTGGTTTTAGCAGCCGTGCCCCTGCCCTGGAAGCAAGGCTGGATTAGTGCAGAGCCCTCAGGTGGTGCCGCCTTGGCCCAGCCCCTCCTCTCCCAGCTGCCTGCTCTGACAAGGAGCCTTTGTTGCTGCTTCCCTCTCACCCGAGTACAGAGAGTCCCCTCCACCTTGGAGCATCTCCCAGGAAGAAGGGGTCCTCCGTGCTTCCCGCAGCCAAGGGGCTCGAATACACAGAGGCCAGTAATGCTTCCCAGCTTCCTGGCACCCCCTGGCAGGCGGGCACTGGCACAAAGAAGTGCCTCTGCTCCCTGCCCGCGCTCTGGGAGAGGTGCCACCTCGAGCAACCAGGAGAGGAAGACGCTGGGAGGAAAGGCAACGCTCCTATAATGCATCCTAATGCATCAAGGTTGAGCAGTTCCACACAGACAGCCTTTGTCACCGTGTGCTTGGGCCCCGGTACATCTGTGAGAGATCCTGGCAGTCCCCGCAGCTGATTCTATGGGAGGCTTTGGCAGGGTTTAAAGATGGAAGAAAGTTTTGCAGTGTAACTTCAGGCAGCCGGCCCCTTCCGGAGGAGCACAGAGCTTCCAGCTATAGAAGAGCCAGGCTCATCACAGGCTGAGATCCGGCTCAGATGTTGTCTCCCTGCATCGCTGCCTGTGTGAAGGGCTTGGCTGTTTGAAATCCTGTGCTCTTCAACACTGCTCTGCGTGGAAGGGAAGCAGCTTGGAAGATGTGGGGCAAGAAAGGAGGCAGTTCCCAGGGAAACTGCAACCAGAAATGGGGTAATGCCTCCTCTTGCAGCTGCCAAAGGGGGTGTGCAGGGCCCAGCAGCCTGGGTCAACTCTCTGCAGCCACAAGTGCTGGGACGTGACCTGCTCGTGGCAGCCACACTTGGCTTGAAAGGGCTTCTGTAGTTCGGAGCAGGTTCAGCTCTGCCCAGCTTTGTTAGGCACCTAGAGATCCCGTTCTGGAGACGTTTTGCTGTACAATGTATTTTAGAGCCGCCGTCTCCTTCCTCCTCCGGAAGATAAAGGATCCAATTTTTCCCATGTCCCCAAATGGGGACATCTGACATAACGTTTGAAGGCTTGCTTTCATTAGAGCATAATTTCAGAACAGCCAAGGAAACAGACTGGCTCTCAGCACCTCAAGCTTCAAAATCAGCAGCAGCTGCGATGTTATCCGGAGTTGCGCTTCTGTGTGCTGGGAAAAGGAGCTGGTGGGATCGGTGCCGTAGCAGCAGAGGTTCTGGAGGTCGGTGCTCTGGGCTCCAGGAGGATCCCCAGTCCTCTCACTGCCTCTTCTCTCACACCTCTCCTTCCAGAGTGGGTGAGAGCTGGAGGCCTGGAGCTGCACTGCGCTGTGCTGCTGCCGCTCCTGCGCCCGGCTGCGCTCCGCTTCCGCCCTGTCTGTCGTCGAGCCCTGGGCTATTTTCAGCACTGCCCCACATAACAAAGCCAGTTTATTTTTCTGCTGTGGGTCTCCTGCTGTGCTTTTTTTTTCCCCCCCTCCTCCCTTCATTCTGTGGGAGAACATGTTGTTTCCTTAATTTTTAACTCAAGCCAAGCCCAAAGAAAATCATCGTTTGTAAGTTAATATTTAAAAATAACAGAAGGAGCTTCCAGAAGTGAGGAAAGTTGGTTTTTCTGGTGGGCTCCGGGGCTCTGTGCGGTGCCTCAGGAGCAGACAAAGGCAGCCCAGGGGGCGGTGGGTGGGTGTTGGAGCTCTGCAGGACGCTGACAAGCGGGCACTGTGGTCTGGTTTTGGAACTCGAGGTCTCAATTCACATTCTACCCAGTGAGATGGAGCTAAAAATACGCCCGGTTTTCTTGGCTTTTTCTTTTTAAGAAAAAAAAACCCGATGATTTAAAGACTACTGATGGCTTTCTGCTACGAGCTACAACCCAAGGATGGGAGGGAGAAGAAGCCTCTTGGCAGCAGCCCTTTGGTGTGGGCTGTGAGTGCTGGGTATTCTGGGGATGGGATTGAGCGTTCTGGGCACCGGCTCAGCTCTCCCATCCAGCAACGTCAGGCGGTTCAGTTCGAGTGGGAAGATAAAAATAAAAATGCGACTGTGATTGAAATTGTGCACTGCAGTAACTTTTTGCCACACAGCATCTCATACATGCATATTTTCTCTTCCGCGCTGACTTTCTTTTAATGGTTGCCATGTGTGACTGCTACTTCACACTGCCTTTTTTTTAACATGAAAAAGGGGGGGAGGAAAAAAAAAAAGGAGGAAAAATAACCTGCTTTCTGCCTTTCCTTCGTCTCTTTTTTTCTCCTGTCTTATGTGGTTTTCAATTTGTGGAGGGCACGTCTGAAAAAGAAAATGGGACGGTGGGAAGGGAAAGCAGCCCCCAAATGCAGTGCTGGTGGCTTCCTGCTCAAGTGCCCTTTGTCACTAGCATTGATTAATTTCTAACTGATGTGTGCACCGTTCTGGACCTTTCTTTAATTAACTGCATTTTTTTTTTCTTCTTCTTTTTCCCTCTCTTATGCCAGCATTTCACGCCTATGGAAAAGCAGGGAAAATGTTGGTGGAAACAAGGTAATCTATTGCTTTAAAGCTGGAATAGTTTGTCTCCCTTTAATGAAGACAATGCTCTGTGGCATTGCTGTGCTCATTTATTACTCCCCTGCCCTCCCTGGTCCCAAAAGCTTTCCCTGCCACCTACAGAACTTGAGCAAGATGCCCGTGTGCTTCATCTTCTATGCAGGCAGGAGCTCTGGGGCATGGGATGCAGGAGCTGGAGAGCAAACTCATCTCCTGCTCTGCTGTGAACTCACGGGCATGTTGCTGGTGGCTGGTTTCCAGGGGTGGGATCCCTGCCAGGGTTGCTGGGAGTTCACAGGAGAGCAGCCCATGCCATGGCTGTGCCCTGGAGCTGCCCTGTGCCACCTGCTCCCGGCTGCTGGGGAACGCCTGGTGGCACAGCCCTGTCCCTGGGGCAGCACAAGAGCTCTCCAGCCTGGTAGCTGCTGGGCTCCTGCGCCTCATGTGACCCCAACCCCAGCAGCAAATCCCTGGCAGGTCGCGTTCAGAAGCCCTGATGGGCAGTGGGATGGTGTCACCGTGCTGTTTTTTCTAGAGGAGGTTCTCTGTTGGAGGCATCTTGAGCTCTGGCCGGGCAGTGGTGCCGGCTCATTTTCTGTTCCCATCTGCAGATTGCTACAGAACGCTAAAAATACACCAAATATTTCTCCAAAGTGACTTGTCCATGCGAGCAGTCGCTGTAATTGCCACAGGGATGCTATAATTGGAAACGGGAGGGAAAGTGGTCCATGCAATCGTGAATGGGAGGAGAAGCAGTTCGTACTACAATCTTTTCATTAAAGTGTGGTCCATTTTGTGGAAGGAAGTTTGAGAGCTGAGCTATTACCGAGGCTTTCATGGTAGGGCCCTGCTGCAGGGGGTGCGGCTGGGAGGACCTCTTGCTGGTTCTGTTAAATGTTTTTCCAAGAAATAAAGGAGTTCTTGCCATCCCTAAGGTCTGTTTCTTCTGTGGCTCCAAACAGCAGTTAAACTGATGCACGTGTTAGCAGAGCCACGTCTCTGGCTGAGATGCTGCTTGTGGGGGAGAGGTGGATAGAGTTTCCTCGAGTTTAGGTTGCTGGGGCTGAATGTAGAGCTGATGGCCTTAGCCAAGCTGCTAAGAGCCATGTTAAGAGCTCTGGCTCCAGCAGGGCTCGTTCTGATGCACAGCCCCACTGTATCCCTGTAGATGGAGGACTGACTTTATTTCTTGCCAAACATTTCCAGTGTGAGATTGGTAAAATCTGGGCCTCGTCTCCTTTGTGTCGTGCTGGGAAGTTGTCTGCAGTTAGGGATGGATGTACGCTGAAGCAAGGCGTGCTGAGCCTGCTTCACCTCTGCAGATGAGCGAGCAACTGCCTGCGTGGATTTTCTCTTAAGTCCCTTTAAATGTACTCTTTGTATCCTCTGGAAGCCTCTTGGTCAACGGGAGAGTGCAGGAGGATTGTGAGCAATCTGCAGCTGTTGTGGCTGGGCGCAGCGTCTGTGCTAAACCTGTGCTGCGGCTGCCTTCCAGGCTTCCTGCTTCAGCCTCCTAATCTCTCCGTACTTTGTTGTTTTGCAGCATGATTGGGCTGATGCTGGGAACTTGCATTGCTTTCTATGTTGTCATTGGTGACTTGGGGTCCAACTTCTTTGCCCGGCTGCTTGGATTTCAGGTAAATCAATCCTCGCTGCATTGCAGCTGCTGTGCAGGCAGTGCTCCCAGTTCCCTTAAATGGAGCAGCGTGTGCTCAGAGGGCCACGAGCTGCTGTGGGGGCACCTCCAGGGAAGCTTTAGTGGCTCAGAAGTAGAGGAAACAATCAGATGTGCAAAACCTCCCTTAAGGCACTGCCAGCAAAACACCCCTTTAATACTGGTCGCTATTAATTCTGGAGCAGATTAACGAAGGAGATCCGATGTTTCTGCCCTAATGCCTCCCCCTGCCAGGTGGTGACAGACAGTTCCTCTGTCTGAGCCGGTACCCCTCGCACCCCTGTGCTCCTGGCGGGGCTGTTATCTGCTCCTCCTGATGCTGCTAAGCTCTGATTAAGGGACTGTGAAGTTAAAAAGATGCGTTGTGGCTGCAGCCAAATTAGGTATTAAATATTTCCAAGCATTCCAGAGTGTTCTGCTATAATAAATACCAATGTGAGTTTTTTGATTAATTTTCTGGATCAGAATTTTCAAGACTTCAATCTCCCATTCCCCAAGTAAGTTCAGTTTTTATTTAATTGCATGGAAAATACTCAAATCGCTTGTGTTGGATTAGTGTTTAAAGCCCCCTCCCCTCTCTGCCCCCAGCCCAATACTTCCACTTCAGGGTGGACCGGTCACGTACTGTGCAGAGCAACAGTGGCACCCAGTGACTGTCTGAGCTAATCACAGACCCAGCTCTAGAAATGGCAAGCTTTCAGCATTGAGTCTTTAAATACCTATAGAGTTGCATCAGGGAGTTGCTTTACTAATGTGGTGAGGCATTCAGAGCGTGCTCTGTGTGCTGCTCCCTCTCCAGGTGTCCGGCAGCTTCCGCATCGTGCTGCTCTTCGCCGTCTCCTTGTGCATCGTGCTTCCCCTGAGCCTCCAGAGGAACATGATGGCCTCCATACAGTCATTCAGTGCCATGGCTCTCATCTTCTACACCGTTTTCATGTTCGTGGTGAGTACTGATGATGGGAGGTTTCCCGCTTGGCTCACACAGGTGCTCACTGTGCGCCCCGTGGGGGCAGCCTGCAGGCGCAGGGCTCGAGCGTAACGTGTCCTTCCTGATACATAGCACTGATAGGGCCTGGCACGGGGGCTGAGCTGCTGCCCGTGTGCTGGGCTTGTGGGGAAGGAGCACAGAGCAGGAGCTGATGGCAGATCTGCGTGCCACTACAAAGCAACGGATTGCGGTGGCGAGCAGATTGAATTGTGGTTTATTCTGCTCATCGATGTCATGTAATTTAGAGCTCCGACGTAGAAATCAGAGGATAGAAGACGTGGGGAGAAAGTGCCTGGAAACACGAGGGCTTTTGTCATGCGTTGGTGCTTTGCCTTGAAACCTCAGTGTTTGTAATGTGCAGAGGGAAGGCTCTTCTTGTTGAGAGCACAGGCTTTGCGTGCTTTCTTTGCAGCCAGTGGTGAATGTCTCTCAGGCAACAAGTGTGATTGCGTTTCTGCTTCTTGTGCTCTGGAGACTTCATAAGCTCTCAGCTCTGACACATGGAGTGTATTTCTTCAGAGATTTTTCTAGAAACATTTTCCTTTACTGAGATAAATGGATTATTGACCATTTAGATCAAGTAGGGTAAGCTGAGGGTTGTCCAAAGCTCGTTCTGTTTGGCTTGGCCAAGCTTCATCATATAGCACCATGTACTGAGAGGTGGAGACTGATGCTCAGGCTGCTTGATCATGGAGCCCCAGCCCTGTCTCCACCAAACTTCAGGCCTGGAAGAGCTGAAGCAAAAGAAAGAAAAGGGAGGAGTGGAAATTCCACGTATTTAACTTTTTTTTTTTTTTTTTAGTAGATTGGGCTGCGTTACAATTCTGAGCTGTAATGAAGCTGGAAACTGTAAATGAGTGTTTCACAAAACTAGTGTGTTCCAGAAGCTGTGCCTTTAAGAAAACCACAACATTTCATGAGAGTTGGCTGCACTAAAAGTAATCTCTGGGGATTAGAAAACCCCTATTCAGGGGATATTATAAACAGGCATTCAGACGTATTTACCTTCTGTTTCCTGTGCAACCCAATGTCTGCCAGCTTCCTTGTCAGTGGCAAAAGAGCCCCTGTGCCTGAGCTGGGTGCCTTGCTCCCCTTGTTTTCCTGAAGTTTTTCCCTGTCCCCACTGAGCTGGCGGTGCTGAGTGCTCCTGGAGCAGCAGTGTGCTGGTGGGCTCCTTTTTAAGGAGCTTTTGTCTGTCTCTGTTGAAGAGGATTCTCCGAGGCAAACGTTGGCTTCCTGTTTTAGAAAAGAAAAGTGCAAAAGAAATGTCTGGGAGCAATAAGTCTCGTGGTGAAACGTGTCGGTGGAAATGGTTCCACCCTGCTGTGTGCTGCTGATGGCATCAAACCGGGGGGGGGGGGGACTGCCACAAAATAGACCCAGGGCCCACAGTGGCAAGCGGCCCGGTGAGGATGCTTGGAGCACTATCAGAGTACGTGGGGTGGGGTAAGGGAGCGGGGGGTTGAGAGCAGGCCGTGGTACAGCAGGCACTGCTCTCACCGAGCTGCCACACGCTGCCTTGCGTCCCGCTGCTGGCATTCCTGCTGGATCTTACCCCCTTTTCCTTCTCTTGGCTGCAGATCGTGCTGTCGTCCTTCAAGCACGGCCTCTTCAGCGGGCAGTGGCTGCAGCAAGTTAGTTACACACGCTGGGAGGGCATTTTTCGCTGCATCCCCATCTTTGGCATGTCTTTTGCCTGTCAGTCGTAAGTACCCACCTTCCCACTCCTGGCTGTTGTGGTGTGCAGTGCCTTTTTGTGAGGGAGGAGGGTCGTAAGGATCCGCATGGGATACGCACCATCTGGTTTCCTATTTTGTTTTAATCCAAGTATTTTACAGCCTGCAGAAGTACAGCATCTCTCTCAGTTGTGACCCTTCTTGTTACCTAGGGAGGGAGCTGTGTTTCACTTGGGAGTTATTGTATTTAGGCAACATGACATCTTTTGGGCCAAACGGCTCCTCAGTGTAATGCACGTTGCTTCGGGACAGCTGCATAAGCAATGGATTTCCCCTGTTTCTTGTAGAGAATGAATCAGTACCAGGGAGGGCAGTGGGGCTGTGTGCTCCCAAGGGCTCCTGCAGGGCAATGCATGCCCTCTGCTACCCTAAATCACTTTGCAAATACACAGAAGAGGACCGCAGAGTCACTGACTTTGGGTAGCTGTTTGCATGTTTCCAGTTACCTGCTTTTCACAAGGCTTTCCTTTGGCATGCAGGAGGGCAGGATGACAACAGGCTATTTTCACGTTTCTAGCTGCATTACCTTCTGCACCAAAATGGCAAGTGAGCAATACGTGCCCGGCCAGAATAGTAACAGGCTTGAAATAGAAACGTATATCCAAATGTGGACACGGAAAAGACCATCCTCATTTGGAAGGCTGGCAGAGCTGGGCTTTCCCCCCTGTAGTTCTAGCAAGCGGGTAGCATGCCAACAGCAAATGAATGTGACAGATAAAATTTGTTCAGACTGCTGTGTTTACACCCACACACACCATCCAAATCATCTTTTTCCACTTATGGGCTCTCTTGGCAGCTCGGTCCCCACCCGAGCACGTTCCAGCCTTGCTGGTAATGTCTCCATTACAACTGGCGAGGGGAGCTGTATTCTTGTACAGCTTTACCTAGTTTGTATTGTGGCATTTTTGTAGTTTCTTTTTTTTATGTGGTAGTGCCCACACAGCACCCAGCACAGTGCTGCGGGGAGCTGGAAATGCAGGGAAATCATTTGGTCTGGAGCAGTGTGCATGTACCTAAATATAGACTCCATCACTGCACTTACGTGGCAAGCTAAACCAAAAGCAGTGTGTTTTTTCCAAGGGTTGGGGCAATGTGCTGCCCCAGCCCAGGCAGTCCTTATGAGAGTGTTCTCAGCTGGATAGGTTTGATTTTGCTGAACCTCTGAATCACCTTATAAAAAATACGTAATTGTGACTTGAAACAAAGCTCCTTCAGCATGTAAATGCAGCATGTGTGCAGTAAGGAAAAATAAAGGCACTATTATTGTACCTTGAAAAGCTGACCTTAATTTACTTGGAAGTCTGAACCCGTTGGCTCTTTAGAAGCTGGCCTGTTGCTGCAGAGCTCACAAAGTGGGTCACTGCTCCACAGGTGTGCGACATGGAAATGTGCTTCGGGGCTGAGGATGGAGCAGGAGGACGCAGGGCTGCCTGGGCTGCAGCCTCCTTGTGACACCGAGCCCTGGGGGGGGTCAGGAGGAGCTCTGCAGGAGGAAACCCCTGATTTCTGCCGGTGGTTGTTCTGCTGAAAGTGAGGACAGGACAAATGGGTGCTCAGTGCCCCTGTGAGCATCAGTCCCTGCAGGCAGCTGGCGCTGTGTGCGGAGGAGCTGTGTGAGGCAGTCCTGCAGCAGAGGGCCTTGCTTGGCTCCTCGTGCGGATGCTCAGCTCAGTTCGTGCGGAGCCCCTTGAAGTTCAGGGATTAAGGGTTAAGGATTTTGCTCCTCTGCCTGACACACTTTCTGTCTGTGGCTTTTTGCCCACTGGAGCTGGGGATGCCCCCTTCCATCTCACAGGGTGCTCCCCCTCCTCTCGATTACTTCAGTAACATGAGGCCCGGATGCAGCCACTTGAATTCAAATAACCAGACATTAATGAGTTGCTAAAATATGCATCTGATGTCAAAAAGTGCATTCCACAAGCTTTCCAAATCTCTAAGTACCCCAAATCCCATGCAGTCAGCACTCCCAGCTTCCTATAAACTGAGCTCCAACAGCAGCACCGAAATATGACAGGCACTGCATTTAGTTCTGTTTGTTTAACTTTTCGTTTAGACAGTGTGATGCTCTAACCTTCTTCCTGCTTTTACTCTGTAAACACTGCGTTACTTTAATTATCAGTGCTGAGGGCTCCAAGAACAATAATCTCCGTGCTCTGCCTGGCCTGGTGCCACTGGTGCTCAGTGGAGCAAACGGCCATTAATTTTGCAACACTTTTGAACCAAAATGTTTACATCACACGTTCAGCTCCACGTGGTGGGGTGGGGAGAGCAGGAATATTTTTGCAACACTTAGAGTTATGAGTGTTCTGCAATCTCTTGGCATTAGCAGTATAAATTGTGGAATAGAGGCGAGTGTTTATGCTCCATAGGGGGAAGGTGTCAGGGAGGCTTCGCTGCTGGGCTGAGGCACTCGAGTTTGTTTTTTTTTTTCCCTCTTTCTAGAAACTTTCCTCAAATAATTTACCCTTTTCAACAGTCAGGTCTTGCCTACCTATGATAGCTTGGATGAGCCGTCCGTTAAAATCATGAGCTCCATCTTTGCTTCTTCCCTAAACGTGGTCACCACCTTTTACATTACGGTAAGAAACCTCCCCTTCTCTTTCCTTGCCAGAAGTCACGCTCTGGAGGGGCAGTGGGGGCGATGATTTGTTTCCAGATGGGGCTGGGTTCTCCTTATCTGTATTTATTCTCAAAGACACTTTGCTGAAAGCAAAACGAAATGGGGAATGATGCCTCAGCTCTGGGGGGTGTTGCAGCCAGGGCTCCCAGAAGGTTCCCTATGGAGGTGGCCCCACACTCCCTCCTTGGCTCATCCTCACCCTTGGGCACTCATTGCCCCCCACCCTTTTGCTGTGCACGTGCTTTGGAGTCCGACCCCCCCTGCTCACCTCCCCTCCCGCCGGACAGGTGGGCTTCTTTGGCTACGTGAGCTACACCGAAGCCATTGCTGGGAATGTCCTCATGAACTTCCCTTCCAACCTTGTGACGGAGATGATCCGAGTGGGATTCATGATGTCGGTAGCTGTGGGCTTCCCGATGATGATTCTCCCATGCAGGCAGGCGCTGAACACCCTTCTCTTTGAGCAGCAGGTAAGACCCTCTCGTGTGGCCAGGAGCTGCCTTGGTGTGCGCTTTGGAAACTTGCTTGTTGAAGGGCTCCTGTGACTGTTTGGCTTCTGCTGTTGGCTGCTGACCTGGGCTGCAGTTGTGCCTCGGTTCTGTGGGACTGCATGACGGTGGCACGTTTCTGACTCGTGGGTGGGTGCTGCTGCCTGGAGGGACAAATGCTCAGCTCCCACTGCAGGTTAAGTGCCTGCCGTGCACAGCAGGAGGCTGATGGCAGCCTGTACATTCTGCTCTACTGAGCGGTTAATCCGTGGTGCTTTGAGTTTCCTGTCCTCTGTGGTGGAATCCCGTGGGCAGCAGTGCCAGGGCTGTGAGCCGGGGGCCTGCCCTGCTCTGCTGCCCCCCAGCTCACGTGGCTGCTGCTTCCCTGCTTGGCTCTCGCATGGAAGTGCTGCACAGTTCAGAGCTGAGGTGGTTTTCTCCCTCAAAAAGAAGGAGAAATGTGCTTTTGGAAACAGAGGAGCCTCCTTATTTCCTGCTGCTCCAGCTGGCATTCTTTTGCTGGCCAACTCAATCTCGCTTTGCATTTAGCTCAAGCTTCTGTTCCTGGCCTCAGAGCCTAGCCTCATTTCTTCTGTGTGCCTGTGCTCATTCCTGCTCTTATAATTCCCATCTTCCCACCTTGTCAGCAGCTCCCTGAGCACAGCCTTCTCCTTTTGGGGTTCAGATCTCCCCTTCTCAGTGTCTCCCCGGCCGCGTGGTGCCGACACAGCGTGGAGCTGCAGTGCAGCACAGCCCTCTCCCACACGTTCACCTTTCCCAGGGTCAGATCTTCAGACAGCCGCTGTGACTATAGTTGGTCTGTCTGATTTAGACTGTGAGTCCCTTGTGGCAGTAGCGTGTTCTCCTCTGTGTATTGTACGGCACTAAGCATGCCGATGGTATTCAGTAAATAACAGTAAGAGATTGTGGGAATGTTCTGAGGCCTTTGTGTATCTGCATAAATAGAAACCTCTTAGGGCAGGAAATAAAACTCGAGCAATTTATAGCTCTAAATCCTGCCACTTCTGCCTGTGAGAAGCCCCCGGCTCTTTTCTCACGTTGGGAGAATCTGGGGATGGGGGAAGGCTGTTGGAGCGAGGCAGCGGACGTGGAGGGCTGGAAGTGCTGGGGAAGCCTCACTTCTCCCCTGGGCTCCAAATGTGTCACTTTGCTTTTGTGTCCCATCTTTGTGCCCAGGAGCGTGGGGACCCGCTGGCTTTCAAGGGCACGTGGGTCCGTGGCATCCTGTGCTTTCCACACCTCCTGCTCGGGGAACGTGGGCTGGGACGGGAAATGGAGGGCATCTGGAAACCCTCCAGCATCAGCAGCTCCCCCGCAGCTCTGCTCATCCTCTGCAGCCCAGCTGGGGTGTCTTCCGTCACGTCGGAGGAGCCGGCCCACACACTGCAACGCGGTGGGAACAGCCCTGCTCCCGGAGGTGCTGGGGATGCCTCAGTGCAGCAAAACCAGAGCTCTTCCCAGCGCCCGCTCTCCCTCCAGCCTTCTCAGCTGCGCCTGTTTCTCATGCCCTCGGCCTTGGGGCCACTTGCGGCAGCATCACTGGCAGAAGGAGTTGGATACAGCTGTGCAGTTCACATTTGGGGCAGGATGAAAACAGCAGCTTTGGCTGCGTGCCTCCTGTCAGTCTTGTTTTGAAGGTTCAGATGCAGTCGCGTATTAAAACTATCCAACTACATCTAGCTGCCCCCTGCCCCATCACTGCAGAGATCACAGTGCTGAGGTGTTGAAACTGCCCCTGTTCGGTCTGCCTGGCTCCTTTTACCCCACTGGCAGAGCCCGAGGGGTGTTTGCCTCAGAACTGTGCAGGTGTGCAACAGGGGCTCAGTTCATTCTTTTCTCTTCCAGCAAAAAGATGGCACCTTTGCTGCTGGGGGTTACATGCCCCCACTTCGCTTTAAAGCCCTGACGCTGGCTGTCGTGTTTGGAACCATGATAGGAGGCATCATGATCCCTAATGGTGAGTGAGGAATTTGGGGAAAGGGCTGCTCAGTGCTCATTCTTCCTGGCTCTGCTGGGTAGGATGGCCTGGCTCGTACTGCAGGCAGCTGCCAAGGGCTGCTGTGCTCGTGATTCTGGAAGAGAACAGCTCTGCTGACTCCTCTTGTTCTTCTTTGCCAGTGGAAACGGTCCTGGGCCTGACAGGTGCTACGATGGGAAGTCTGATTTGTTTCATCTGCCCAGCTCTTATTTACAAGAAGATCCACAAGAATGCACTTTGTTCACAGGTCAGTGATGCTGCTGCTTGGCATTCCCCTAAGCCCTCTGCAGAGCCTGGGAACAGCATTCATGTGGCTGCAGGAGGGCAGCTGCTCGGTGCTCCCTGCTGTAGCCACTTATCGCAGGTGGGACCGTCCTGCTCGGAGCTCACAGGCTGGCTCAGTGCATGGTTGCCCCATTTTGCACAGAGGCTCTTTATATCCCTCTAAGCTGCGAGCAAAGCTTTCATTTGCTGCGTGAAATGCTGCCTCCAGTCCGCCTTCTGACGGGCTTTAGGTTCTGTATCCACAGACTGGGGAATCCAGGCAGCCTATAAAACCTTACATCTCAGCCTACCTGGGCTGGGTAAAATAAACAGGGCTTCCCAGCGATGTGGTTCTTGCTGCTGACCTACAGCTCTCTGGTCTCAACCAAAATAATAATAAAAGGGAACACACACGTAGAGGTGTTGCTTCAGGAATTGATCTTTAAAAGATTGGGGTCGTTCAGAGGCTATTAAAAGTTGAGCTTTTCCTTTTGCTCCAGTTTGAATTGGCCTCCTCGGGGACTGAAACAAAGTGGCTCTTTGCTGGGCTTGATCTCTCTGGTTCTGCAAGTACTGCGCTTTTATGGGGTCAAAATTAACATGCTTTGTTTTTTTTCTAACAATGACTGAATCCATGGCCTTTTAGCAGGCCTGTGCTCCAGCATCACCAGTCACGACAGCACTGATCTGGGAATAAGGTTTTCGGCAAACTGCGGAGTCAGCAGAGGGAGAGCAAGAATTTCTGTGGGTCCTACAGAACTAATGGCTTTTTCTGAGTTTAATGACTTGTGGGTTTGCAAACGTATGTGAAGCTTTTAAGCAGGGTGCTTTTTTTTCTTTCCCCACGCTTTCTCTGACACAAGGAAATAGTCCAACTTTCCAGCTTTCCCTCTGAATTCTGACACTTTGGTCCTAACTTCTTTGACTGAAACCCCAAGCAGGAGTCTGAATGCCAGCCTGGATTTTTCAGGGAAACAAAGAGCACTTTCAAGTCTTGCTTTCTGTTCCGGCCGAGCCAGAACGTTTCTCTGCAGTGCCTTGAAACTGCACTCAGGGTGTGCTGAGCTCACTGGCTGCCCAAGGCGACTCTCAGCTGCCTGCAGTTGAACGCTGGGGTGCTCACAGTGCGTGACCTAAAATGCTGCTCACAGGACTGGAGATATTTGTCCTGCAAAAATCCCACAGAGGATTATCTGAAGCATCAGCCCCCGGGTTACCCTGGCATTTGAAGGGGCTGCTAGCAAGCTGTCCAGTCTTCTCTTGAATGATCCATGGCCTGTCAAGTTTGCATACTTGCTTTGACCGATGCTCTGAAGTGCTGCAGCAAGGGCACACCTGTCCTCAGGAGCGCCTCCAGCTGCATAGCACTCCGTGCCTCAGCTCTGAGAGCTGAGACCGGGGCCCAACCCTCTCCTTGTCCCTCCAGGCCTTCTGCAGAGACTCATTTATTCATTCCCCGTAGCTCTTTCTTTGGTCTCCTCCTTCATTCCTTCTTCCTTTGATCCAGGCGCTGCACTCCATCAAAATGTGCTCCTGTGAAAAGTGGCAGTACGGGGGGAGAAGGAGCTGCCCTGGGCAGAGCTGTCCCTCCTCACTTTCCCCTGCCTGAACAACACACGTACATGTTCTGCCTCCCCACCTGCACCCTTCTGAACATGTTTCCAAAGCAGCAGCTCTCTCATCCAGCTCTTTGACTTGCCGGGTTATCTGAACTCTTGCAGTATTTCTTCCACATGTGTTGGGCCACCTCTGGCTTCCAGTGAGGTCCAGCATGGAGCAGCTGGCAGCTCTGGAGTTGGGTTTTGTAGAGCTGGGAAGGTGATGCCAACTTAGGGTATGATACAGCACTGAAAGCAACCACGAGGGCTGCAGGGCAAGCAGGCAGTCCCAGACATTGGCTTCTGCCACCCAGCTGTGAATTGTCACAGCCAACGTGCAGGTTAGGAGCTGGGATCAACGTGGGGACGGCGGGCTGCTGGAGAGAGCAGTGACAGCAGGGCAGGGGAGTGAAAAGCTCGGAGTGAGCCCTGTGGGGCTGTGGGTGAGCTGGGGAGGAGCATCCCCTTCCTTGCAGCACGTTCCTGTGACGGCACAGCTCCGTGTCCCGCTGCCCTGGGGAGGATTGGCAGAACACTGCTGAAGGTCGTGCTCAGGTCTGTAAACACAGCTTTGAACTTCCAGCAGGAAGGTGTTGGTTTCTCAGTGTTGACACAAACGTGTGTCTGAGAGGCCCCTCCCTGGGAGGCCGTGCTGCTGCTGTCCCGCTCAGGGAAGAGGAGCTGCAGGGGTTGTTGCTTGGGTCAGGCAGTGCTCATTGCTGCATGGTGGGACGTTCCCCTCTCTGCTTTGGGTCAGTGCTGTGCATTGCTGTCATGGTGGAGGAGCCGGGGAGGGACACAGCTCTGCATTCCTTTGTGCTTACAGCGTCCCTCAGTGCACAGTGTCCAAAACAACACTGCTCAGGAGATGTCGTCACTTGAGGCAAACGCGGCTCTTGCTTTGTGCTGCTGGCTCAGGCGTGGTCAGAGGAGATGCTTTGAGCTAATGACACCTCTGTTCAAAGTTCAAGCTTTCTTCTGGGAGGAAGCACAGCCAAGAGAAAGCAAGCAGCAGAGGAAACGGATGCGTAAACTTCCTCTTCCAAGTTCCTGGCCGGGCCCCAGTGCTGCTCTCGGGAGATGGGTGCTTGGTGTGCTGAGCTGCAGGCAGGAGGAGGCTGTGGCCGGAGGGATGTTCCTCCTACAGAGTGCATGTCCAGGAGCCCTTCGGTGGCTCCCAGGTTCCCCTCAGAGGGGTGGAGGAGATTCCCCCTGTGGGAACAGCTGCTGGCTCAGAGCTGCTCTGCACGCTCTGCTTCTTCCCCTTTCTCCACCCCAAATGCGTTGGGTGGTTTCTGCCCCTGCTCTTCCTCAGGGCACCACTGAGTCCCTGCAGCCCATGCTGCTGCTCTTGTCAGAAGGTTGTCAACCTCCTGCCAGAGGTTGGCCCCGATGGTCCCTTGAGCACCAACTCCCTCCCTGTTATTTTTTTTGCACACCGTAGGTATCTCTGTGGAATGGAGCCGAATTACAGACCTCCACTCAGGTCTGCAGCATTCTTGGGCTGGGTGAGGATGGAGGTGTGGGGCAGCCTGGCCCCTGGGAAGCTCCCAGATGAACTCTAAATGTTGAACAATCAGAGGGGTTTAAATCCACAACATTCAAGCCCGTGGTTCCCTATTAAGATAAGAAACAACAAAAACCCTTTTAAAACCAGCAGTGATTTCAGCCGTTTCCTACGGTTTCCCTTTTCTCCCACATGGCTCCCGGTTCCTGTGGCACCAGAATACATCCTCTTTGTGGAAATGCTCTTCCTCTCTGCTGTTGTTTCTGGAGGACGCCGGCACAGCCGCGTTGCTGCCAGGGCTGTGGGTCGTGCAAGGGGGGGGGAAGTGGAGGGCAGGGACCTGCCTGCTGCTCCCGGCCTGCAGGATGTCTGCTCTTTGTGCACAGGGCCGGCAGCAGACCTTGCTTCTGTTTCCTTTGCAGCCCCTCTAAGATGTGCCCTCTGCTCCCTGGCTGTGCTGCTGATCCCTTTTCCTTCCGAAGGCGTCTCCTGGGCGCTGACCACACTGACCCCACTTCTGCAGCAATGGGGAGCCCAGCGCCGGCCCCACCTCTCCCTTTGGACTTCACCTTTCTATTGTGGGCTCCCCCTTTCATTTCCCAACTTCTCCCTCCTCCGGTAGCCCGTGGCAGCTCCTGTTGTGTTCACGTTCCCCAGTGGCTGTTTCTGCTTTTTCTCACGCTGAGCTGCATCCTCTTGTTGTACCCCTTGTTAAGTGTGGTGTGCATGCTGCAGGATGAGGATTCTGGGCAGTAAGGCAGGGATGAGCCCTTTCTGAGTTAGGTAAATTCTTTGCAGAGTCCTTCCCCTCACAGGATCCAGGTTCTGTCTCGCTGTGTTCCTTCTCTTTGATCTCAGCTTTCTGAGTTACTTCTCAGCAGCTTCTTCCTAGCTTCTACCCCATCCGTGGACCATTAGCCACAGGACTGCGCACGGACATCTTGCTTTCACAGAGAAGAATTTTTAAATGGTTCCCAGGTAAACCTGGCCTGTGAACAGGTCAGGCACCTCTGCTCTCAGCCAGAGCTGACTGTGCAGTGTTGCAGTGTAGCTGCTCAAAGTGCCAGGCAGTGTTCCTGTGCAGCTGGACTCCTGTCCACCATGTGCATTTTTCTATTCTGATGCCCTGTCCACCTCCTCTTGAGCCCTTCTGATACAGAGGCAGTCTTTTACAACAGCTTCCAGCATCTGAAACTGTTGTTTTGTGCCTCTCCATCCAAATACAAACAAACCTCTGCCGAGAGCAACTGTTTCCTTTTTCACCTCTTCCATTTCTCCTCAACTCTCCCTTACTGCTTTGAGTTGTTCAGAAACACTGTTTGCATGCAGAACACTGTGCAGTGTCATTTGCTTTGCCATGCTAACCAGAGCTGCTGCCCATTGCAGATCATCCTGTGGATTGGCCTGGGAATGCTGATCATCAGCACCTACACCACCTTGTCTGCCACTGAAGACACGCCGGTGAAGACCGAAGCAGTGGGCATGGAGCACCTGGAGGGAGAGGAGGACAGGTTCGACCAGGATGCTGTCAAACTCCCAGGTATGAGGCTGCTTGAGTCGTGCTTCCAGCTCTGGTCCCAGCTCCGCCTGCTGTGAGCACTGGGTGATGCCCAGGCAGCTCCCTGCAGGTTTTGCCCAGGAAAGCTGTGCTTCCTGGAGTGCAGCTGGGAGCTCCCGTGGTCCCTTTGGGAAGGACAGGCAGGGTGCAGGGCTGGGATCCTTTAGTGGGAGCAGAGCGTGGATGTCCCCACGAGGTGACCAGCGCTGCCCAAGGACAGCCTGGTGCTGGCTGACCGTTGCTGCTCCCAGCATGCTGCCAGCCCATCCTGCTCCCTGTAACAAGCCGTTCACTGCGCTCAAAGGTATGTAAATTTACGGGCGCTGACTTTTTTTGGTTGTGAGGTTGTAAATTTGGATTCAGATTTAGCTCTGACAAAGCCCTTGATTATGCCTCAGCTCTGTTTACGGGTCCACGTTATTTATTATTTGTTTACCGTGGCCGTTGATGGAATTACAGCCGAACCTCCCTTCCCCAGCTGCAGGCTGGCCTCGCAAGGCCACCACGAGCAGGTGTCTCCTGACCCCGTGCTGCCCCTCCTCTGTGCCTGCGTCCTGTTTCTTTATTTTATTTTTTGCTCCATTCTGCTCAAGCTTTTTGTTCTTTGGGGGCCTTGAAATATCCTCGCCGAGATTGAGAACGGAAGCGAGAGAAGGGCCGTCTCTTCTGGAGCTTATCCTCCCTCCCTGTTGTTGGCTGGGTTCCTGCTGAGCAGCTCTGAGCGTCTCTGACAGCGGTGCTGCCGCGATAACATTCACTCCTGGGTCGCTGCGTCCCTGGCAGCTGAGGGGTTTTCTGCCTCTGCTCTCACAGCTCACCCGAGATGCATGCGCCTTCCCAGGCGCTGTGCTGCCCGTGAACTCTGAGCAAAAGATGCTCTCAATCCCTTAATCGTGCTCACTCAGCAGGGCTGGGAGGAGGGATGCGATTGAATTCTTCCGTCTCGGTTAATTTTGGAGCAGTAATGGCCAAAGAACAGCTGCTCGTTTCAGGAGGAGTCGCTAATGACACGCGTGCTTGTGGCTGGGAGGATAAAAGAAGTCCCATAAAGGACGGTGTCCGCTGGAGCTGCTCCATCTCTTTGCCACTTCTTCCCCACGTGAAGCACTGTGGGGAGCTGCACTCCATGGCTGTGTGCCGTACCCACGCAGTGTCTGCACCGCCTGGGACTGGCTGCTGGGTTGTGTCAGACAATCAGAACCATGGCTTGGAAAGGACCCTAAAGATCACTGAGTCCCAAAAGCCAGGCCGTGGGCTGTCCCCCACCTGCTCAAGCTGCCCAGGGCCCATCTACGGCCTCCAGGGATGGGGCACCAGCACTTCTCAGGGCAGCAGTGCCAGGGCTTCACCTGGGTAAAGAATTCCCTCCTGGGACCTGGCAGCACGGTGCCCCAGCGCTGGGGATGCGCAGCTCTGCCTGCCCCCATACGGGAGCCGCGGCCGTGCGCCGTCTGCCTGCTGCTGTCAGAGTGCAGGGGGAGCTTTATGGGCTCCTTTGATGTTGAGCAGCCCAGAACTGTGCAGACTTTCATTAAAGCCCTGCCCTGTGGGCCCTGGGATTATGAATATTAGAACATTGCCCTTTTATGTGAACACGTATTGACCGGCGAGCTCTGAATAGTGTTTTTACTAACGACACCCAAGTGCCCATTACAGCCCCAGCCTGTATTGCTTGAGGTTTACTGTCAGCAGCTCTTCGGGAAAGGTATAAAACCCCTTTCAGAAGCGTTCAGCTGCACCATGCAGCGTGTGCACGGATGGTAAAAGGTTGCTAAGCTGCCTGTGGAAGCTCATGAAGGCAATTATCCATTAGGAGGGAAAAAAAAAAAAAAAAAAGAAAAAAAAAAGCTAATTAGGCAATTTCTCTCTGTATTTGAAAGCACCCTAGAGGGTCTCATGGGGCGGATTAAGATTTTGTAATATTTTTCAGCTCCTTACTCCACTGCTGCTGCTTCGCTCTGTGCCTCTCGCCTTGTGCAACGTTGGTAACAAAGCCCCGATTCACGCCGTGATGCAATGCCCCCTTTCCCCACTGCACCACGAGCCCCACACATCCCATACCCCGTGGGTGCGGGTGCCACCGGGTTGCCCTCTTGGATGCTTTGCGTTGACCTCAAAAAGAGCCCATCCCGGTGCAGCTCCACCAGCAATGGCTGCGCTGTGTGCTGGAGTGGCCCTGAACATGTGCGAGCCATGGATTATGCACAGCCCCTAATCGCTGTAGGAACAGCTTGATGCTGCTGCAGCTCTCCCCGGTGCTTTGTGCGAGCGAGCTTTTAATAGCGCCTGTGACACAGAAAAGGCAACTATCAGCCTCCTGTAATTTGGGTTCGTTTTTACTGCTGGTGCGTCAGGAGACAACTGTGAACTAATTTCAGGGATGCCATTTGATAACCTTGTGAAATCTGTCACCGTTTCAGCCATCAGGGGGGAGCTCTCCTGGGCGCCGCTTGGCCGGGGCTCAGTGCCTGCGTGCCTGGGGGCTCCTGTGTGCTCCAGGCTGTGCGGGGCGGCCCCGCTCCATTCCCTCCCCCGGGGCTCAGTGGGTTGTGGGGGGCCGGCTTGCTCCCATCCCCACTTTTCTCCTATTATCCACTTTCAAAATGGATAATAGCTCCTTTTTGCTGGGCTGAAGTTCAAGCAGGCCGTGTCCCAGTGCTGCTGTCCCCAAGAAGTGCTGCTCCCCGTCTCCTCGCGCCATCCCCAAGCAGGATGTGTATGGGATGCATGGGTGCACAGCCCAACACGGTCACTGCTTCGGTGGACGAGAGAGCTGTGAAAACCACGTGAGGAGGGATTTAATGCCTTTCTGGGACCGCTGCTCCCATCCGAAGCAGGAGCAGGGGGAAGGGAAGCTTTTAGGCTGCTAATCATGAAATTTTATTGCAGCCTGGAGAGGCTGCTGGCAAACCACAACACATCGGCGCGCACACGCGCTCACAAATCAGCTGCAGAAAGCCCCAGCAGCCCCCCCACGTCCGTGAGTGTGAGCGGAGCTGTGCTGCGGGTGAGCCCTGCGCGGGGCCGGGCGTGTTGCTGTAAGCCGAGGAGCTTTTATAGCCTCTCAGCCTTTGCCTGTAAAGTCCAACGCCGCTCATAAAACATTAAGAGGCACAGCATTACTGTAACGCTCTCCAAAGGGACCTGAAGGGCGACTAGACAGTTAGAGTGATTATTACACATCCTGAGCAAAATTGTTCTCTGCAAACCACATACAGCCCCTCGTAGATTTCCATGCAGCGTGAGAGGTCGTTAATTCACGCCCTGATGATGAACTTAATTTTGTTTCCTGCTGAGCAAATGACGGCTTAGAGGCAACTTTGTCTTATTATGGCATGGAGACTTTGGGTTTTGTTTGTGTTTTGTTTTTCTTTCTGCCTTTCCCCGCATTGTTTTCAGAGCACGGACCGTGGGAGCCCTCTCCTGATTTACGACGGAGCTGCTGCAGCCACGGGGCTGCTTCCACCTGCTGTAGCACACTGGGCATGGCACTACAGGCTGCGGGCACTGCGCCCGCTCTGCCTTAACTCCCCTGCTTCCCCTTAGCGCGCACAGCTTCCTTCTCTCCCCAGATTTTCCTGTTTGTTTTTCTTTTCTTTTCTTTTCTTTTTTCCTCTCCAACATCCTATTGCGTTACGGCCACCTCTGGCCATGATTTCCTCCTGCATTTGCAGCGTTCTGCAGCTCTGATTTCATCCACCAACAGTTTCCCCCGTACGCAGCAATCTCCGCGCTCCGCCGACCAATGAACGACGCCTTTCCTCCGAGACACTCAATAACGTTTTGCTGCTGGGCCAGGCTTTTCGCTGGGAACATCGGCGGGAGCCGCGCCGAGCGCCTCCCTGCACGGCCCTGCATCCTGCTGCTTCCCAGGGCGCACGTCCAGCAGTGGGCACCAGCCCCTGCTCTCTGCGCCGTCCTGCACGGAGCATCCTGCCCTGACCGCGGAGCCCTGGGGAGCCCCTCCGTGCAGGCAGCCCCTTGGGATCGGCCGCGGTTTCTCAGAACGCCCGCATCCTTTCCTCCCACTCTCGCTGCAGAACGTGGCCGGGGCAGAACTCAGGGCCAAGGACTCCAGGTTTCTGGCTGAGCCCTGCGTGCTTTTGGCACGGCTCCTTCTGGGCCAGGATTTGGCCTTTTTCTTCCCCGGCTTGGGTAAGGCCCACGCAGCTGAAGTTGTGGCAATCACTTCTTTCCCATGAGTTCATCTTGTAATAAATCGCACCAGCCCTGTGGAGGGGGAGGAGAAAATTGAAAGATGTTTATAGAATTAATTCCCCAAAGGAAATTGCATGGGGGCGGGCAAAGGGGGGGGGGGAGGGTGGGAGACTTGGGAATTTTTTTTGTTACAGAAGATGATTTTTTTTTTCTTCAGTTTGTTGGATGGAAAAAAAATCTGCAGTTCAACTTCGGTGCTGGGAAACAATTCTGTTTCCTCCTCTGCTTCTGTCCTGGGGAGCAGTGTGCTCCAGGGTCCTTCCCCCAGGTCCCCACATCTCCTGGGGCTTTGTCCTCACGGTCTTTCCTTTCTGCTCCCCAAAACCTGCTGCTCCCTTCCCTCTTCTTCCAGGGGAACGGCAGAGGTTGGGAAAATGCTCTTGCACTGCTATGAAAATTGAAAGGAATACATAACAAAACAGGCGTGGAGCTGCTCTGCAGTGTTCTCCCAGCATGGGCGGGTGCTGGGGGCTGTGCTGGGCCCCCGGGTCCCCATGCTCACAGCCCTGCAGCGGGCAGCCCGGGCGGATGCTACCATCTGGCGGCTCGGGCTCGCAGCAGCTCTTGCTCTGCGCTGCTGCACTGGGGAAAGGAGCAGCGAGCAGAACAAAGCCCCGGCCCCGCTTCGCTGGCGCTGGTGGAAGTAGAGCAGCCACGTGGAGCAGGGCTGCTGTGGGCACAGCAACCACCTGGGTGCTGGCGGGGGGCTGTCGGTGCGGCTGTGCGTAACCCCTTCCACTAACGGTGCTGCGTTTCCAGAGCAGAACCCGGCGGTGGAGGAGGCGGAGGATGACCGCCATAAACCAAAGCTGCTGGATGAGAAGGAGGAGATGGAGCAGCCACAAATCAAAGTGCCCATGGAGGTACCCGAGAGAGACGAGGAGAGAGGAAAGCCAGAGGAGAAAGTGCAGCTGGACCGGCCCGACCAAGGTAAGGAGGGATGTGGGGAAGGGCCGTCAGCTCTGGGACTGCTTTGGGTAAAGGTTCTGATCTCTGCTGGTCGCCTCGTGGGCTGGTGCGTTGTAGGATGCTCTTGGGGCTGGTTATGAATGCAGCCTGTTGATGAGGGAGCAGATGCGGGGGGCAGCGGGTACCCAGGCATGGCCATGCACACCGTAAGCCCACTGGCACGGGGCAGCCGAGCCCTGACCCTGCTGCTGTACGCTCTAGGCATCGCCCTGCCCATGGGGGAAGCACATCGCCACGAGCCGCCCGTCCCGCACGACGAAGTGGTGGTGGACATGGGGAGGGAGCGCGAGGACTCTGTTGAGAACAAGCAGGCGCTCGGAGGAGAAGAAGGAAACGCACCGAAGGCGGCGCCGCGTGAGCCAGCCGAGCTGCATCCCCAGAAAGAGGCACAAGGGAAAGAAGCTGAGAACCGAGCGCGGGGAGGGACTGAGAAACCTGTGAAGAATCTGAAGAACGCCCCGGAGGTGAGCGTGCCGAAGGATGGCCGGCCATACAAAGAGCAGGAGCTGGGCAGAGCAGCACAGGATGCTAAGGCTCGAGCTGCCGTGCTGGCCGGTGAGAAGAATGCTGAGGCTGCAGGTGATGGGGAGAAAACGAAGCTGCAGTTCCCCAGGAAGGCGGAGGAGGTGGTGAGGTCCCTGGAGAAAGAAGCAGATCCTGGTAAGCTCCCTCTGCGTGGCTCTGAACAAATCCTCCGGTCCCGTAATGTGCCCCCAGTGACCGGGCAGTGTCCTTGCTCCATCCTCCAGCCCGTGTTTCCTTCTCATTTCACAAGATGAGCACGTGAGCGTGCACAGCCCCTTCAGCAGCTGCTGGCAGAAAGGAGGAATCTGGTGGCTTTGACAGCTACTGTAATATCTGTCAAACAGTTGTTTGCCAGCCTGCTAAATGTCAGGTGCTGTGCTGTTCCCGTGCGTCTCCCAGCTCACTGGGGATGCGGAGCTGGGAGATCTTGACAGGTAACACATTGCTAAGTGCCCATCTGAAAGTGACTTAGAGCCATTTGTGCATTTTAATTGGCTGAGGTAGTTAGCACTGGCTCGCTGCCATGAGTCTATAAGATTGTTAAATATTTTTTTTTTTTATGACTTCCCTCGCAGTCATCAGGTTGAATATAAACTGTGCTGGCACGGGCAGGGACAACGCGATGCAGAGTCGCTGTGTAGAACCTTGAGCTCCTCCCCGATGCCAGCACCTGTCGGTTTGTTCATCTGCAGGTGAAAAGCCAGAGCTGCCCCTCCCGGAGCGCGTGGAGCCAGCTCAGCCCCAGCAGCTGGAGCAGAGGGAGAGCCGGAACGGGGAGGACAGGCAAGCGGAGAACGCAGAGAACAAGCTGGAGGGTAAGTGCAGGACGTGGGCTGCCAGTGCAAGATTCCTCTGCAGGAGGAACGTGCCAGCCCTGCCAGGCCTGGCTCTGCTGAGCACATAGCTTTGGGCCAGAGTCACCTCGGCGACGGCAGCAATTAGTGCCTGTCTGCAGCTGACGCCTCCGGCGGAGGTTGGCACATTGCTGCTGGAGTCCCTGGCACGGTGAGGCCGGCGCGAGGCCGTGAGTCACGGCTGCTCTCTGGCTTCCTGCTCCTGTGCCAGCAGCCCTGACTCGATCCGAGCACGGCCAGCCTAAGGCCGTTTGGATTCTGCAAAACACGGGCAGAGCCGGGTGCCCTGCAGGGTGGGGAGCCCTGGGTGCCCCCTGTGCGGGGCCACCTGGCACCGCGCTGTGACCCCGGCGCTGCGCTGCCCTCGGTGAGCCCCAGTGCTTGGCTTTTATGGCTGTTGATGTTTTGATGAAGGGTGCCTGTTAGAGCCCAGCCCGAGCGCTGGCTGAGCTCTGCTTCCCGACATCAAAGGGGAGCTGGGAGGCAGCGCAGCCTTTGTTTGCGGGGAAGAGGTGTGCCACACAAACACGGAGCTCCGCGTGTTTGCAAAGCTCTCAGCCAGAAACGCTTTGATTTGGCATTAAACCTTTGCCTGCTCTCAACCCCAACCGTTCCCATGCTGCGCTGGGACCGGCAGGCTCGGAAGGAGAGATGGCAGAAATGCTTTCATTGTTTATTTTGAACCAAGTGCGAAAAATAAACAGATCGTGAGGAGTCAATTGTGCTCCAAAAGGCCGCGCTCCCCCCGCAGCCCCACATTCTGCAGCGCACTGAGAGGGGAATTCCGGAGGCCCTCTGCTAACAGCACCGTAACGTGAACTGGAAATCCTTCTCCGTAATCACTCTGTGGGTGATTAGCAGGACAGGGCTAGGCGGCTGTGCTGGGAAGGGATTAACGTGAGCAGCATCCCGTTTTAATTTAGATGGCGTTTTACAGGCTATTAATTTTGACATTATTTCCTTTGGGGCGTAACGGTGGAGAAACACCTCGAGTTTGGGGAAAAAGCTGTTGGCTGGTGCAGGAGGCGAGTGCCACACGCTCGTGCTCTGCAGATGGGGTTCACCCAGTGGCTCCTGAGAGGAGAGTAGCAGCAGTGCAGCACTGGGACCATTTTGTGCGTGTCGTGGAGCTGACGGCGAGTGAATCAACCTGAGTCACTGCCGCTCGGCCTGAGCCGTGCTCTGCTCTGTGTAACTCACTCCGTGGGGTCTCGCTGGTGGGCAGCATTCCCAGTCCCAGTGCCCGGAGCTGCTGGCTGGCGCTGTGCTTGCAGCCTGCCCTGGAGCTGCATGCAGGCTGCCGGCCCCCTGCTGCCACGTGGGACGTGGTGCTCCTGCAGTGCCCGCAGTCAGAGCTGTGCAGGGTCGTGCCACGGCGTTTCCTGCTCTGGAGGGCTGGGGGCTGGCCTGTCCAGCAGCATTTCAGACCGGGACTTTCCTGCTGCAGAAAGCCACTGCGGTCTCTCCGACACTCAGAGGTGAGAAGTGAGGATTTGGAGTCATGGATTTTTTTTCTTTTTTCTGTTTCTAGAAGCAGAGCAGGCAAAAATGCTTGATCATGCCATGCTGCTGCAGGTGATCAAAGAACAGCAGGTGCAGCAAAAGCAGCTACTTGACCAGCAGGCAAAGCTGCTGGCTGTGATTGAAGAGCAACACAAGGAGATTCACCAGCAAAGACAGGAAGAGGGAGGAGAGGAGAAGCCAAAACAAGGTAAGGAAACCACCGGGGAGCGTGAGCCCTCTGTGAGCTGGTCACTGCTCAGAGCAGCTTCAAAATCAGGCTGGGAGAGATCCAGGTCCCTCCAACACATGGCAAAATTCGGTCTGCAGCAAGCCATTCCTAACTGTGTTTGAGCTCCAAGGTGGGGATCCCCTGTGCAGAGATAATGCTGCTGCTCATGTCTCACCCTGTTTCCCCACCTGCCCCTTGGTGGTGATCTCATTCTTCAATCTCATGTTGTGCACAACATGGTGGGAGCAGGGAACCTATTGCTCTCTGTGAAAAAAAAAAAAAGCTTGTACATGTCAGTTTTTCTTCCGCAGCAGAAATGCAACAGGAGCCTGCTGTGCCTCTCTCCAAGAGTAAGGAGGAAGAGAACCTAGGAGCTAAGCAAGAAGCTGCTGCAAATCTACCGGGTAAAGAGCCACCGGAGCACCCTGTGCCGGGCGCAGGCAGGCAGGCTGCTGAGTCAGCTGAGCAGCGCAGGGTGACAGCAGGAAGGCTGGAGGAGGCTGGGCACGGGCGTGAGATTCCTGGGGTTCCTCCCAAGGAGCGGAAGGTGGCACAGCAGGAGATTGACAGAGCTGTTAGGAATGCTGCAGAGAACTCGGATCCCCTTCACAGAGATGCCCAACGTGTTCCAGCAGCCAGAAACCACCTAGAAAAGAAGCCCTTGGCTGAAGATGCAGGAGGAGGTCATGAAGCCAAAGCTGGAAGAGACGTCCACGAGAATTCCCTGAAAGCTGTGGAAGCAGCTACAGTTCCTATCCAAAGAGAACAGCTGAGGGCTGCCAAGGTTCAGGGAGTAGCAGGAAAGACTCTGGAAAGAGACTCGGGAATAGACCTTAAAGCCAAAGCAGTGAGTCAGGTGGAGCCCAAAGACCTGGCAGTTGCACTGGACTCCTTGAATAAACGGAACGTGGCAGGGAGTGAGCAGCACCTACGGGAGCATCCGAGAGCTGCAGATGCTGAAGGGGCTGATGAACAGCAGCCAGCCTCACGGGGGGAACTGGCCATCAAAGGGCAGGTGAAGGAAGAGGATCCTCAGCAGAGGAGGGTGGACGCAGCCCAGGACCTTCAGGAAGAGCTCCAGGGCAAGCAGAGGCGTGTGGTCGGAGGGCTGGCAAATGGTGCTGAGAAGAAACCGAGCCCTGAGAATGCTGCTGCCCGAAAACTGGAGAAAGGAGTGGCGATCCCTGGGGACCAAAAGCAGGATGGTGACATCAAACCAAACCGGGACCTGAAACTGCAGGCGGACCTCGACCTGCGGCGAAGGAGGCGGGACCTGCTGCCTCACCGGGAGGAGGAGGAGGAGGAGGAAGCCGCACAGGGGGCGGGGGTCTTCATTGGCCTCAACCCCCTTCCGGATGTGAAAGTGAACGACCTGCGCAGCGCTCTGGAGACGCGCCTGAACCAAGTGGCAGAGGGAGCGCAGCAGGTGGTGCACAGCCGGCAGATCAAGCAGATGACAGAGGCGGATGGGAGCATGTGAGAGGGGGGCCGTGCGCCGTGGGTGGCTCGGGGTGTTGGCCACGGGGGGGAGGCTGGCAGGCTGCGCAGGGGAGGCTGCAGTTCTCCGGCTGTTTGCTGCTCAGGCAGCTGAGCCAGCTGTGCGTTGCTGGATGCAGCGTGCGATCCGCCGGGCCTCCTGGAGCTGTGAGTGCTCTGCGGGCTCCTGGAGTCCCTGCGGGGTCGCACCTCCCCCGTGTGCCTGCAGAGAGCTGAGGAAGTGACAACCGTGCCTGCTCTCCTGCGGCTTTCAGAGGTTGCCATTGAACTTGGTTCCCTGGCAGCTTCCAGGGGCTGTTTTCAACATCTCCTTCATATCAGATTGCCTTCTCCCTCCAGCTCTCAGCTCCCCCTTCAGAGCCAAGGTGTCTGTCCGTGAGGTTCCCCTGCCTGCTTGAAGAGGCTTCTCTGGGTTCCTCCACCCAGGGCTTTGGGGCAGGGGTCTGGGTCTGCAGGAGCAGAACTGGGGAGAGATGCCTGACTCGTGAAGGGTTTCACTCTGGAGCAGCACCGAGGCAGACTGAGTTGAGGACAGGCTTAGCTAATTGCTTTGGTGTTTCTCTTGAAATGGGAGCTGTTAGTCTTGCATGTTTAGGAGTTAGTTGTGGTTTAGGGACCTAGTTTAGTAGAAATGCTGCCTTAAACGGGCACAACTGCTGCTGTTGTGCTGCCTCTACTCCCAGGGATTTAATTGGTTGGCCACACACTAGCAATAATGATGAGCTCTGCTCTCTCTTCACCCTCTCTGGATGCTCGCACTCTCATCTCTGCTTTCAAGCTTGACTTCTTCAGTCCAAAGTGCATTTCAAAGCTCAACCCGGGGGCTGCAGACCGCCCCCTCTCCAGCTCGATTTTTCTGCAAGAGGCAACTAATTAAGGGACAAAACACGTGGCTTAAAAAGGCGGACTTGAGGGGCTTGGCTCAAGCATACCTACCTCTTCTCTGTAACTCGATGGAGCTGTTTGTTTTTTTGTGTTCTTCCCAGCCTCGTTCTATACTGTGTTTTACATCCATAGATGTCAGTACTCTGCCCCTAAAAATGTATTTTATGAGCAAGGAAGGGAAGAGCTCTGGTTTGTTGCAGGCTCCTAGACAGTGGTTCATCCCATTGTTTTTTATTTTCACATCCTGACTTGCGAATGTAAGAAATCAAATCCCAAAGCTCACATTAGAACGGCTGACGTTTCCCAGCCTGGAGTCTACAGACCTCATCACTGTGGTGGTTTTTATATCAGTATCTCAAAAGTGTCTTTGATAAACTAACCTCGTTGAGTTTGTGTCTAGTGGGACCCCCTGGAGCCAGAGACAAGGCGTCACCAGGCCTGCAGGACAGCCACGCTGTTCTGTAACCCGGCCTTGGCTGCATCGCTCATGTCTGCTCCAGCAGCCAAAGACTGCTGTGTGCCTGGATGTGCGCCTGTTGCTTGAAGGACGTCCTTGAGCTAAAGAGACACAGAGCAACAGCTGCGACTCAGCCCCACTTCTTCACCAGGACCTCCCATGCCGCTTCCCCGTGTGTCTCCTTGTGACTGCCGGAGCCTTAACCCTCAGGACTTCATTATACAAGTGAGCTTCTCCATCGCGCTGTCTTAAAGCACAAACCCAGGAGCCCCGCACAGCAGGGATTGGGCAAGGCAGGGGCTCCCGAGCACATTGTCATCCCCTGCAGCACTCAGCTGCCTTTTTACAGGAGGAGGAGCCTTCCCTTCTCACACCTTGCTGTGTGCTGGGTCCACCCCAGGCTCTCCCATCCCGCAGGATGAGGACGTGCTCCTGCCCTGCGGTGGTGCTGTGGATTTGGTGATGTGGATTTATTGCTGAACGTCTCTGTGGCGTTATGGATTTGTTGGCGTCGTCTCCGTGAACACAGAGGACCAAAGATGCTCTGACATTCCCCAGCGAGCCAGGAGGGACAGCACAGTTCCTGCATGGCCTCTCCTTGCCGGGGACCGTTTGTACCGGGTCTGGAGGGGCTGGTGGGAGACTCAGCTGTGCAGATCAATAAAATAAGCTGAAGCATCTGTATCCGATTTTAATTTTTTAATAAACGGGCCGCAGTGCTGAGCGGGGAAAAGCTTCTGCGTGGGGGCGAAGGAACCCGGGGCCGGGCCCATAACGCCGGCCAACCCCGAGCTCCACCCCCCCGCGCCGCAGCTGCAGTCGCCGCTGTCACCTCCAGCACCTCAATCACTTGGCCGCCGCCGCCTGCGGAGGAAACCGAGTGAGCGCTGCTGCCGGTACCGGTACTCTCCCCACCCGGAACCCCTGAGGCAGCACCCCGGGCCTACCGCGCGGGCGAAGCACTCCCGCAAGGCCTGGAACTCCCGCAGGCAGACGTCCCGACGTAGCTCCACACTTCCAGCGGAGGCCGCGGCCACGCAGCGCCCGTAAGCCGATGCCTAAAGCGGGAAGAGGAAAGAAGCGGGGTCACCGAGGCCTACCGAGGTGTCTGGGTCACCGAGAATGCTCTCGGCCCGGCCCCACCTGGTCCCCGCAGCCCGCCAGCAGTGCGGGGAAGCGCCGCAGCCGCGCTCGAGCCCGGAGCCAAACGCCTCGACCCGACATCGCCTCATACTATGGGCACCGCCATGATAGCGGAAGAGCTGTTGGCCACCAGGCCTGCTCACCCATGTGCCCGCCCCCTTGTCGTTTTGATAGGAGGAACGCTGCGTCTGTCAGTGCTCTGCTTGCTCGGATTGGCTAGAGTGGGCGGCTGACGGCGTGGATTGGTTGCGCACAACACCCGCCTCCTGACCGGCTTCAGATTGGTCGCTCGCCAGATGTAGCTCTGATTGGCGAAGAGGCCTGCTGTTTACTTCCCGTCTCCCGCCCCTTTGCTGCTGGCGTCAGTCTCGGAGGCCGCTTCCGCCCGGAGCTCCGCCCTTCCTGACTGCTGATTGGCGGATTCGGAGAACCTTGCACTCTCATTGGTGCGCTGCGTTTTCCGGAAGGCGGAAGTTTGAAGCCGCATTGGGGCCGGGCAGGATCTGAGTCGGACTGTCATGGCGGTGCCGTTGCGGGACCGGTTGTGCTTCCTGAGCCGGGTACGGGCCGTGCTGGGGCGGGGGGCGGCCGGAGGGGAGGGGGGGCCGCCGGGGGGTGTGACGTCACTTCGCCCGTCGCGATGTCATCGCCGCACCCCTCACCCATCCCAGCGCCGGGTCTCCTCTGCCCAACCGCCGCCGAGCCGCCCGCTCTTGGCACCGTGAGGCCTTCACCGGCAGTGACGTGATGTCACCAAGAGGGGCCTGACGTCACCGTGGGGACGTGACGTCACCAGTTATCCCTGGGGGGTGGTGGTGGGGAGGGTTCCGTAGGCAGCCCTCACCATTCCTACTCTTAGCTGCCGGTGCTGCTGCGTGGCACTGCGGACGAGGAGGGGCCGTGCCCCGGGTTCGTGCTGGAGGAGATCAGCAGTATCCTTTGGGGGAGCTGGGGCCGGGGGGGGGCTGGTGATGGTGTGAGATCCATCCCTAACGAGCGGCCCAGAGATCTCTCGTGAGTCGGCAGGCAGCAGCCAGTGCCTGCTGGAGTTCCTGCTGGGCCGGCTGCGCAGCGGCTCCTGCCACGTCAAGCTGAAGGTATGGCATTGCTGCGGGCTGGGGGCAGTGGCGGAGCTGTGGAGTGGACTCTTCACCCCAATGTTGGACCCCCAACATCCTGTCAGGTGCTGAAGATCCTGCAGCACACGTGTGCCCAGGGTTCACCCCAGTTCCTCCTGCAGCTGAGGAGGAACGCTGCTTTCATTCGGGAGGCTGCAGGTAATGGGGTGAGGAGTAGGGCGGGGAGCAGGGAGGGGCTCTGTGTCGGTGCTCCTATGGCTCTATGGAACAGCCTGGTGCAGCTTCTGCCCTGGACAAGGCCGGGTTCAGCCCCAGCCTGCCCATCCTCGTGCCTTGCAGCATTCACTGGGCCCCCAGACCCCCTCCACGGCAACAGCTTAAACCAGAAGGTCCGGGCTGCTGCGCAGGTGAGTGCTGGCCCTGTTACCTCTGTGCCTGGGCACTGCAGTGGAGGCTGGAGCAGCTCCCACTCCCTGTGCCTGGTGCTCCTCAGTTGTCTCTCAAGCATCTCTATCTCCTGGCAGGACTTGGCCAGCTTTCTCTTCTCGGATGCTCTGCTCCCAGCCGTTACCACACTGCCTGCCCGTCCCCTGCCTCCTGCAGGTAAGTGCAGGCTGTGCTGTACCCCCAGCTCCAGTGCTTTGCTGTGGTCTGGCCCCCTCTTACTGCTTGCTGGTGCATTGGGGCTGATGTCCCACAGCTCTGCCTGTTACAGGTTGAGAGTATTGTGTTGGACAGAGAATTGTACCCAGGTAAACAGAGATACAGGCTGCCATAAGTGTTCTCTTCAAGTGCTCTGGCTCCCATCTCCCCCATGCAGATACAAAGGCTCTGCTGTGCTTTCTTGGGGAGGAACGGCAGTGAGGGGAGATGTAAAATGCCTCTGCTCTTTCTGATTGTGCCTCGTACCTCCCCTAGGCATGGGTTCCAAATCCAGTCCCTGCAGCTCCATGCAAGGATTTGGCTTCAGCAGCGAGAGAGGCGGCTCCAGTAAGTGCCTCTGAAACTCTTGCTGGGCATTGCCCTCACCCTGCATGGGTGCTGCCCCCCGGAGACTTTGGGCCAGACTCTCAGCTTCCCAAGGCTCTTTCCCAGCCTCAGCAGGTGAAGCCCTGCTCAGCACCATCCAGCGAGCAGCTGAAGCGGTGGCCAATGCTGTGCTTCCCTCACCGGAGGGACCCCGGTCTCACTGTGGGGAGCTCCATGAGGATGCCTACCAACCTGTGACAGCTCCTTCTCCTGCAAGGAGCCTGGCCAGCTCAACCAATCCACCTGCAGCCACTACAGCTCACATTGCCCGAGGTGCGTCACCCCCGGCCTGTGCTGTCCACCCCACTGTGTTTTGGGGTGGTTTGGTCTCCTTCTGGGTCACTTCCTGCTTTGCTGTTGCTGTCCTTTCAGTGAGCCACCAGCCGGGGCTGGCGGGGGGCGGCTGGGAGGAGGCAGACAGCGGGCACAGCTCCCAGAACTCCTCGCAGGAGAATGGTGACCTGAGCCGCACCTCAGACACCTACAGCAAATCGGGCAGCGACAGTCACTCTGGGGCCAGCCGGGAGCTGGTGAGCGGGGCTGAGAGGTAAGAATGGGGATCTAGGCACACTTCTCTGTGTGCTCTGAGTTCTTTTGAGCTGGTTTCTCCATCTGCATGGTGCCTTTTTTTTTCCATACTGTATTTTCCATCTCGTGGAGCTGACAGGCTCTGTTCTTCTGGGGGCTTTTGTCCTCCTGGTCTGGACAGCCCTCAGCCAGACAGAGCTGACTGCAGGGACACTGCATGCATAGGAGGGAGCGGGGCTGTCCCCATCACTGTGCTTTCCCTGTGCAGGGTGGATGCTGACAGCCTGGGTGATTGCCTGAGGGAGGTGAGCCTGGTGTCAGCGCTGACCCAGGGTGCCAGGGTCTTCCTGACTAGGGAGGAGGCACAGCACTTCCTCAAGGAGTAAGTGCCCAAGGTGGATGCTCCCCAGGAGTGTGGGTGTCTGTGGTGTGAGCTTGGTGGGGCAGCGTGAGCCCTGCCTGCTGGCCCTGACTACAGGGCCAAAGTGCTTGTGGGGTGCTGCATGTGTCCATAACCGCTGTCCCTGTGCCAGGTGTGGGCTGCTGAACTGCGAGGTGGTGCTGGAGCTGCTCAGTCGGGCCCTGGAGGACCCCAGTGACAATGTCCGCATGGTGAGTGCCCACGGGGCTGCTGCTGGTTTGCATCTGCCACTGGGGGGCTGCAGGCTCAGGAGGGACAGGGGAAGCAGCTCTGCCAAGCTTGGAGATTTTGGTGCCTGCTGCCCTGCTCAGCTCTTGTCCCCCTACAGCGGTCCATGAGCGCCATCTCATCCCTCATGTGCTCCGACCTGTTGGCTCTGGACCAGATCTTTGCAGGAACACGACAGCAACTGCAGCAGCTCAGCCAAGGCAGCCCCGGCCCTGTGGCCAACCGAGCAACCAAGGTGACTCCTGGGACATCCCCACGACTCCTCCCCAGATGGTGGTGCACTCTGGCTCTTGTTACCCTGTCCCTGGGGGCACCCCTTGCTGCCAACCCTTGGAGTTGGTTCTGTGCAGAATGGATGGGCAGTAATCATGTCCCACGATTGTACTGCTGCTCCCAGAGCCCGCAGACCCTTCTGCCCTGAGGGTGACTGCAGGCACTGATGCCCAGGTCATGGGTCCCTGGGAGAAGATGCTGGGGCCAAGCCCCTCATACCGCTGATGCTCACTGTGCCCTGTTTCACCTCTCCTCCCAGATCCTGCGGCAGTTTGAGGCTCTATGCAGAGGCCGCCCGTCCCCCAAAACCTCACGCCCGTGCTCAGCTCCATTTACCCTCGCTGAGGGCTCAGCCCCATGCACAGGGGACCTGCTGACGGACATCCCACCTCTGCTCGATGAAAGCATCCTCCAGCCCCTGACTGCACCCACACTCCCCGGCACTGCACCAGCTGTGGAGACAGAGCCGGCATTGGAAGAGGAGCCCTGGGAGCAGCCCAGCCCCACAGCAGTGCCTGTCGCACACAGACAGGAGGCAGCGAGCAGGTTGGTGGGGGATGTGGGCACGACGGCAGTGCCCACCCGCAGCCTGTCCCTGTTTGCTGGCATGGAGCTGGTGGCACCGCCGGGCACGGCGCTCACCCTGCGCTCACCGCCTGCGGAGCCGCGGACGTTGCCACAGCCCCAAGGTGACACCATGCCTGATCGGAGCGATGCAGAGCCCTCAGCCTTCTCCTTCCTCTACGCATAGCTGCCTCCGGGATCCTGCAGGGCTGCGGGCGATGGCTGTGGGGCTCAGCGTGGGCTTCTCACCAACAAGCAGCCCTATGGAGACAAGGGCAATGGGGCTGCGCCTGGGCGCTGCCAGGGAGCTATAGGATATGAAATGGGGCCGGTGGCAGAGCTTTAAGGAGTCTGTCACTGTCTTCCCGTTCTGGGAAGGTAGGTGGCCCGGCCTGACCCGTGGGGGTCCGTGCTGCAGACCCTGCAGGGCCGGGGAAGCCCTGAGTTGGACGCAGGGTCAGAGCTGTAGGGGTCGCGCTGCGGTGATGCTGGTGGGGCCGCAGCCGGAAAGCACCAATAAACCTGAGCCCGGATGGGACCTGCGGCTGCCTCCGAGTGCTTGCTGGGGCCTCGGCCCTCACAGTCCCCGTCCCAGAGCCCCTTTGGAGCCAGAGCCCCTTCCGCCGCACAGCCCGCGCCTCCGGACCCCGCAGCCCTTCCAGCCCCGCCCCCATCGTTTCCACCTCCCGCCCCCTTTTTCGCCTCAGCCAATCCGGCTCTCTGCTCCGCCCCGCGTAGCTCCGCCCGTCCCCCCTCTGACCGACAGCCGCCTCATCCAATGGCGCGGCCCCCGCGCCCTTCGCGCTGACCAATGAGGGCGGGCGGACGGCGCGGGCAGGTGGGGGGCGGGGCGAGGCCTGGGGCCGGCGGGGCGGCTGCACTCGGGCCGGGGGTCCGGCGGGCTGCGGGGTCGCGCGGTCGGGGCCTCCGCGTGGGGCCGTTCCTCCCCCCGCCGCAGGATGAGGAGCGCCCGGAGCAGCTGCTCGTGCCCGGGCGGCGCCGTGGAGCTGAGCCTTACCGGGATGCCCGTGCCCGTGACGCGACGGCCCGGCAGCGCCTCGCCCGCCAAGCACGTGGTGCGCTCCGTGTCGGTCGTCGGCGATGGAAAAACCAAAAGGAACGCGCTGGTGGGTGATGCTGTGCTGGGGAAGAGGTGGGTTGGGATGGGGGGCTTTGGGGGCTGCGTCAGAGAGCAGCCAGGGGGATGGGAGATGGGGCTGGGCAGGGAGGAGCGCAGTGGGGTTGTGCGAGGACAGGGGCGGAGTCCTGCGGTCGGGGAGGAATAACTGAGTGCATCGGTGTGGGTACGGGGCTGAGCTGCTGGGAAGGACCTGCGGGTCCTGGAGACCGGTGGTTGAGTTGGCATTGATTGACCGTGTGCCAGCAGCGTGTCCTGGGGCCGAGAAGGCCGTTGGTTCCCTGGGGTGCGTTGCACGGAGGTGCTCCCCTGCGCTCTGCCCTGGGGAGGGCACATCTGGAGCGCTGGGAGATACCCAAACCCACTGCATGCTCTCCTACTCTGAGGATCCTGCTGGAGGAGGGGTTCTCTTCCAGCTGAGAACCTCGGTGGCTGAGTGGTTGCTGCTGCCTTGGCGTTCTGCCTCAGTGTTTGTTTGCCGGGCAGGTAACGAGCACAGCCCTGCTGTGTGCTGGGCAGCTCAGCAAACAAGCACAGCCCCACCTGCTCAGCGGGAGCCTGGCAGGGAGCTGGGGGTACCCATGTTGTTAGTGGGGTGTCTGAGCACCACAGCAGGGCTGGCAGGGCAGCACCCACCCGAGCTGTTATTGGCGATCCCCCCTGAGTTTTGCTTTCTCCTCCCCAGGAGGATGCAGGATCCAGGGCCATCAACAACCTCCGGAGGTCCAACAGCACCACCCAGGTCAACCAGCGGGCGAACAGCACGCACAGGTATGGCTGCAGTGTGTAGCACCGCTCTGCCTGCTCTCCTGTCCCACCAGGAAACCAAAGCCGTGCACAGCCAGGCACTGAGATGTTCAGTCACACACATTGCAGGTCCTAACCTGGTTTTGCAAAGCTAAGGTCCCCTGTATTCAGGGAAGGGTGCGTGATTGAGAACTGGGGAAATAAGGATGGAGCTTTTCATTTGCAGCAACTCCTGGACTTACCTGAGCGTAGTTGGGCTGTGATAGAAGAGGGCAGTTCTCTTGACTCCACTGACCTCCCAGAGCCCGTCTTTGAATGGAAATTTTCAGTTCTTCTTGCCCTTCAATTTATTTTCTCTCCACACGCCCTGCAGAAGCATAACATTCTGTGTAAAAAAGGTATAATTCCTAGATTTGTGGCTGTGTGATGGTTCTCTGTCCATTTTTCCCCATGCCTCTGCGTGCTGTGCCTTTGTCAGCCACTGCTGTGCTGCAGCCATGCTGCTGAGCCCAGATCAGAGTAGGCTTCTTGCTGGAGCAGCCTGAGCGATGGGAATCCTGCTGTGACTGCCTCGTTGCCATGTGCATGCATTCAATATTAACCCCAGGACACTGTACCCTTTCCTTCTCTTTGCCTTCGGGCTGAAGCTCAGAGCAGACAGGAGACTTCCTGCCCTTCTTTGAGAGCAGTTCTGGTGGAAGAAAAAAGGTGGCGAGTGTGAGCAAAACCTCTCTGGAAAAGAAAACCACGTGGAACATCCTGGTGAGGGTTGTAGGCTGAGCTGGCTGCTGGCACAAGGAGCAGAGCGTGGGGTGGGGGTCTGGTGGGAGGGATTCCCCAAGGTCTGAGCACAGTGGGAATACAGGGTGTCCGTGGCAGCTGGGCTGATCCCTGCTCCACCTGCAGTTGGCGCAGTATCTTAAGTCCAGGGTTGTGGCTGCAGCTCCGTGCACCTGGCTCTGAGGGAGGCAGGTAACAGTGCAGGAGGACTGCAGTGCTGCAGAGCTGGGATATTCCCTTGGTTGGGGGGGAAGTGGGTTTCTGGAGGAAGAACAAGGGGCTGGTTTGGTGCTTGCTCACTCTTATTCGTGTTCCCCCCATGGCAGGATGATCAGCCACGAATCTTCCCTGCCCCTTCTGGCTCCCGTACTGCCGAGCCTCCAGCAGGCATGAGGAAAAAGGAAGCCACCGTGCTCCTAGCAGCCAATTTCACAGCCAACAATAGGTAGGAGGGGTGGCCCTGAGCCAGCAACGTGCAGGCCTGGTGCTGGAGGAACCAAACAGAAAATGCTTGGGCAGAGGAGGCGGTGCCAGTGCTGTGCTTGTGCTGTGCTGAGCCCTGATGGGGGACGTGCCTGGGGGTACGAAGGAGCGTGGTTCATTTGGGTTGAGGCCACTGGAGTCCTGGGAAGGGAAAGGAGTAAGATGTGAAACCCCTGGGGCTGGGAAAGTTTTAAGTGTGAGTGTTCAGCACAGCGTGAGCAGCAGGCTGTTGTGTCTGCTGGGTTGTGTGCATTGTCCGTGGGGTAACAGCTCCTGCATCCTCCCCTGCTTGCTGCAAGGAACGCTCGAGGCAGTGGTGAAGGTCACTGCAGGACGTGCTGTTTCCTTCAGATCCAGTCATCATGTGTTCTTTTCCATACATGCAAGGAGCAACAAGGGCGCGATGGGGAACTGTGTCACCACCATGGTGCACAATAACTATTCCACCACTGACAAGGGCCCTGCACCCAAAAGCTCCAACCAGGCTCCGAGCTCCCTCAAGTAAGTGTGGGCCAGCTGCTGGTCTGGGGGCTGCACCGACCCCACATCTGTGTGAGGCAGAGCCGGCTGGGATGGTTCCAGTGGCTTCATCTTCTGCCTTAGCAACGTCATCAAAGCGACTGCGAACGAGGACAGCGAGAGCAGCAGCTTCATGAAATCTCAGAAGAATTTCTCCAGCAACAATATCCTGACCCGCAACAACAACAGCAGCCTGCCCCGGAGGAAGGAGGTGACGGAAGAGGAGGCAGAGAGGTGAGCTGGGTGGATGGGAGAGGCAGCAGGATGGCATGGGGACCGGGTTTGTTGTTGTCTTGTGGGAGTTTGGGCCTGGGAATTGCTTCTCTTGGCACACAGGGTTGAGCGGCTTCTCCCTGCCTGCCGCTCAGCTCAGTGCCCTTTGCATCATCCCAATCAAAAGAACGTGCTCCTCTGCGCTCTTGAGCTGAACCGGTTTCTCCTACCTCGCTGGGCTGGGGTGCAGGACTGGGCTGAGCAGTCCCTGCTTTGCTGTGGCAGGAGGTGATGGTGGGGGGCCGTGGGGCTGATGCTGCTTCCCTTGCAGGTTCATCCAGCAGGTGAACCTCGCCGCCGTGACCATCCAGCGCTGGTACCGACGGCACTCGCAGCGGCGCAGGGCGGGAGCAGCAGCTCTGGGGCGCTTGCTGGCTGCCAAGAGGGAGGTCTGTCCCCTGCTCTGTCCCCTGCTCTGTCCCCTGGCTTTCCCTTACTGTCACATCTACCAGCGCAAAGCTGAGCTGCGGGGCACGGGGGGGCTTTGCTCTTGCATTGCAGCGGCTCCTGGCCCTGTCAGGGTGCCGTGGGATGCAGCCAGGAGCCTCTCTAGCAGCAGGCAGGGAGAATGGGGCAGAGTTCGTGCTGTTGCTGTCTTGGTTGCTCTCACGGTCAGAGGAGGAAAGTCCTCTCGCAGCTCGTTGCAGTGAACCAGTAACGTTTGGCTCGTTAGGGAGTGACGTGTCATCTGCAGCTATTTGTGTTTCGCTGTGTTTAATTATTTATCCAAATAACAAAGAGCACTGTGGCTCTTGTTTGTGAGATGCTATTTTTAAGCCTTGTCTCCTTGGTGGTTTCAGCCTCGGATGACTAATAATTGCATTTGGTGTCTAGAGAAAAGAAGCTGCTGTAAAGTGGAGCTTTTTGGAGGGGTCTTTCCCTGCGAGGAGGGGTGGGCTGTGGGATGGGGTGACTTTGGGGGGGTGCATCCCTCCCCACTGCTTTGGACGTGGACGAGCTCCCAGTCACAGCATTGACCTTTCTCTCTGGAAGGAAAGGCAGCAGCAGGAGGAGAGGAACGTCCTGGATTTGCGTGACAGGAAGGATGAGGAACGCCGGAAGATCCGAGAGGAGAAGGCACGGCTGGCACGGCGTGCTGCCATCCAGGTAGGGACGAGGCCCTGTGCTGCAGCAGGACCTCAGCCTCTCCTCTGCATCTCGAGGGGCTTTCCATGAAGCTGAGTTCTAGTGAGCGCTCCCTGTGGAGGCTGAGGTGCCACAGAGCAGTTTCCTTTGCGCTCCTGCCAAGCTTGGCAGCTCACCCAGTGCTGGTTTCCATTAAGTTCTCAAGGAAAGGGAGACTGCACTCAAACTGAGGGCAATAACCGCAGCTCCTCGGGGCGGCCAAGGACGAGAGAGGTCCCCTGAGGGTCTGTCCTTGGGCTCGGGTCACTCTGTGTTGTGCTGAGCTCTGCTCTGTGCTCCTGGCACTGATGCAGGAAGCACCTCGCTGTCCTCGCCGTGTTCTTGGCAGCCCTTGATGGCAGGAGGGGATGGGTGCTCCTGGAGCACAGATGAGGGGCTGGGCCTGTTACAGACCTCAGGGAGTTGCTCATTTGGATTGCAATAGAGCTGGGAAGAGTTTTAAAAGCCCCAGT